TTGCGTGGAAGAACCTGATGAGTATGTTTGTCAGTAGGTCAAAATAAGGATGAATGTCCTGCAGACTGTGGCAACTGAGGATCGCAACTCCAAACAACAAGTGGAGGCTACAACGACCAGGCCACGTTAACACATATACCCACACACACTGACTTCACCCTGTTCATGTCATGTTTCATTAAACATGTTAAAGCAGAAATAACATAGCATGGTGCATTCTACTTAAAGTTGGTAAAACAATCCAAGGCCATATCAAGCCTGTGGTATTTCCAGTGTAATCATCCTTGGCCTGTGTAACATAAGTGTAGTCACTGAAGGTCTGAAGCAGGTAAAAATACCTAATGAGAAAATTTCAAAGAGAGACCATAGAGCAAAACACGCACTGAAACTCACCTTAATTAACTGACATAACACTTGAATGTTAAATTTTCCCACCTTGATTTGGTCTGTGATGTTTCGTTCTATTTCTACTTTCGCATCCTTTTTTTATAATCTGATAACACCAGTCCAATTTGAGACTGATCTACACCACATGTATTTGGAAAAAAAATAAGGAAGTAAAATAAAGTGCTGTGCTTCATTATATTTATTATCATATTGTTTGAATTTGGGTTGCATCTTTTATACAAAGTACCAAATCCTGCAGTAGATCCACATGAAGCTGAAGTCTTGGTTCACTACACTTTGACTGAGTGTCTGTATTATTTTATGAGTGCATCTTTCAGTCTTTGATCCCTTTAACAAACACTACAGATTGCTATGACAGTTATTTTGACTTATTTGAATACATCCTATCTCTTCATGATGTTCTTTTGATCTTTTCAGTGTTTTGGAATAATTAGAAAAATTGTCAGAGGCACAGTGATTAGAAGAAATCATTAGCTGAGTGTCAATATCGTAAATATCATATCAGAAATAATAAGATATGAGGTGAGGTGAAATTAGGTTTATCATCGCGTCTAAGATTATTGCACTTATATAGCGACGTGCATGCACGTGTGTGTGGCTGCTTGACCTAGTCCGGACTGATGCCGATTTATAGTGCTAGCTCACTGAGATACCATGCCGCAGTTTAACATGAATACCCTACTCAGACACAGTATACGGACTCCCAGCCGACCAGTCCTTGTTTCAGCCCCTTAATGCTGAGCGCCAGACAGGGTAACAACAAGTACCATCTTTTAACATCTTTTGGTATGACGCGGCCGGGGATCGAACCCCGGACCTTCCGCTCTCCGGGCGGACGCTCTACCACTAGACCACGGAGGCGGTCGTTATGACTATGAACCCTTGAATAGTAGTGTTGAGTATGTGATACAATAAAGACCTCACAAATCGACAGAATGTGTTTCTTTATGAGGAACATGGCATAATTTATGTCATAAACAATGTGGAAGAAACGGATATGTCTTAAAGTGCTGTCTACTTTCAGCTATTCCCATTTACTTTGCCAACTGCTACAACTCAATACAATACACAAAGACTTAATCTATATGCACTTAACACTAGTTCTAACTTGTATTCTCTCTTAGATATGTGTCGTGTAGAATGGATCACTACACATGTTTAAATGTGTAAAATTCTGTTGATCGCACAGCATTATCATGATTAATATGATTATTCACTTTGGCACTAAAGTGTATTTGAACAATGTGACTGGCTTAAGGACTTCACCTTCACCTTCAAACATTGTATCATAAAATTTCTCTTCAAAAGACTACATTGGGAATTGGTCTAAAACACTACTCAACATTTGCTAAGGACAACACCTTTGACTAAAGATGGCTACTAGACAGTAGTTTGTCGATGGAAAACAAAGATGCTAATAATGACATCAGGCACCTAATGGTATAGTTTCATGGATAAGGCTAAAAAAAATAATAGTCGGTGGTGCCTGAGAACCAAGACTTATTCTTTTAGCCTAATTTCACAGTTGATAACAGTAACAATTCATCGTTATGATACCACTACAACTTGGAACTGTATCTTGCCACCTAAAGTTCTGGTACTTAGCAAAACATGTTGAGTAGTAATACCGGTAAGCATAAGACAGAGGCAAAGGCTAAACTAAGAAATAATATTTTGAACAATCAGTCTTAGAAGCTATTCTTTTAAGATTCGTCCAGAGGACTTGTGTAAACCTTATTTCACTAGTTCTCAGAGCTTGTAGCTAGTCCTGCTTGAACAAGACAAAATGTTTACTATGTTTACATTTTCTGTCAGTTTTACTCAGTTCCAGTTTGTAGCAAAATTAAAGCATTGAGGACTGGTTCAGAAAATGATACTTTATAGCCCTCACAGTATTGAATCTACAGACTAGAGTTTACAAAAGTTAAGATGAGGGTAATGACACAGGCCCCTCGAGTTTCATGATTAATTTCGAATAAAGAACTATCCAGTGGTGATGACTGTAGTATCAACATAGTCATCATAGTACTCATGGACTGATGACGTCACGAAAAGAGTGATGATGTCATGATGATGTCATGATCAAAATGGTCTCTAGAAAAGAACATGGCTGCCTCATGTAACTCATGAAATAAACCTAATCAGAAACCATTCGGCCTCCATCCTAGATATTACAATGACTTCACAGCATATCAACTCATGAGGAAAGGTCAAAGTGACACAGGTGAAATATGTTTACCACTTTGGTGAAATCAAAGAGCATCGGCATGGAGCTGCCACACCATGCAAGAACCATAATCAGAGTGATGATGGGATTTGAGTGAGTGAGTGAGTTGGGTTTAACGCCGCTTTTAACAGTATTCCAGTTATATCACAGCGTGACAGCTTAATGTGGGAGGAAAGCCCGAAGTGATGCAGGTCTCAGACGTTTTACCACTTCGGTGAAACCCACGAGCACGGGTATGGTGCTGACAAACCTAGAAACATAATCGGGGCGAACCGGGATTCGAACCCACAATCATAAGTTTCTGGCGTGCCCAAGGGAAGCAACTCTGCACAGCGAATCGCGGCGCCTTAGATGACTGGGCCACCTGTGCCCCCTGATGGGATTTGAACCAATAACCAGCAGATCCAGGCATGACAAACTTGTACAATGCCCCACACAACTTACCCCATCTATTATCATTTTAATTCCTTGATTAACAAATATGTGCAGATCCATCTCTTTTTTTTCTCTCTATCAAGACCAAATAATGTCAGTAATCAAAACAACTCAAAGCAGGTTAATGTGTAGATGTCATCCTCTGCCATGTCAATAAAAAAATATTACTTTTAGTTCAAAATATACACTTTTTGTGTATATTTTGGGGGTATCATTTCATTCCATTTTGCGTGGAAGAACCTGATGAGTATGTTTGTCAGTAGGTCAAAATAAGGATGAATGTCCTGCAGACTGTGGCAACTGAGGATCGCAACTCCAAACAACAAGTGGAGGCTACAACGACCAGGCCACGTTAACACATATACCCACACACACTGACTTCACCCTGTTCATGTCATGTTTCATTAAACATGTTAAAGCAGAAATAACATAGCATGGTGCATTCTACTTAAAGTTGGTAAAACAATCCAAGGCCATATCAAGCCTGTGGTATTTCCAGTGTAATCATCCTTGGCCTGTGTAACATAAGTGTAGTCACTGAAGGTCTGAAGCAGGTAAAAATACCTAATGAGAAAATTTCAAAGAGAGACCATAGAGCAAAACACGCACTGAAACTCACCTTAATTAACTGACATAACACTTGAATGTTAAATTTTCCCACCTTGATTTGGTCTGTGATGTTTCGTTCTATTTCTACTTTCGCATCCTTTTTTTATAATCTGATAACACCAGTCCAATTTGAGACTGATCTACACCACATGTATTTGGAAAAAAAATAAGGAAGTAAAATAAAGTGCTGTGCTTCATTATATTTATTATCATATTGTTTGAATTTGGGTTGCATCTTTTATACAAAGTACCAAATCCTGCAGTAGATCCACATGAAGCTGAAGTCTTGGTTCACTACACTTTGACTGAGTGTCTGTATTATTTTATGAGTGCATCTTTCAGTCTTTGATCCCTTTAACAAACACTACAGATTGCTATGACAGTTATTTTGACTTATTTGAATACATCCTATCTCTTCATGATGTTCTTTTGATCTTTTCAGTGTTTTGGAATAATTAGAAAAATTGTCAGAGGCACAGTGATTAGAAGAAATCATTAGCTGAGTGTCAATATCGTAAATATCATATCAGAAATAATAAGATATGAGGTGAGGTGAAATTAGGTTTATCATCGCGTCTAAGATTATTGCACTTATATAGCGACGTGCATGCACGTGTGTGTGGCTGCTTGACCTAGTCCGGACTGATGCCGATTTATAGTGCTAGCTCACTGAGATACCATGCCGCAGTTTAACATGAATACCCTACTCAGACACAGTATACGGACTCCCAGCCGACCAGTCCTTGTTTCAGCCCCTTAATGCTGAGCGCCAGACAGGGTAACAACAAGTACCATCTTTTAACATCTTTTGGTATGACGCGGCCGGGGATCGAACCCCGGACCTTCCGCTCTCCGGGCGGACGCTCTACCACTAGACCACGGAGGCGGTCGTTATGACTATGAACCCTTGAATAGTAGTGTTGAGTATGTGATACAATAAAGACCTCACAAATCGACAGAATGTGTTTCTTTATGAGGAACATGGCATAATTTATGTCATAAACAATGTGGAAGAAACGGATATGTCTTAAAGTGCTGTCTACTTTCAGCTATTCCCATTTACTTTGCCAACTGCTACAACTCAATATATGAAAATTGAACTCACTTATATACAACAATTGTCAAAAACAAGACATCTGCATTCCTTCAAACTTAACATAACCAAAATTTATTCTTTACCGCATTAAAATGGTGATACTTTGGTGATCGAAATTAGAACCATTTCGCTATAGTAAACTTCATAAGACATCTGAGTCCCCATTTGTCTTCTAAATGGGTTCTGATAGAGACAATATATTTTACATTTTGTCCTACTACTTACCACTCTTTATGGGCGAACAGTGACAATATCTGTTCATTTATGTTGCAATGTGAAGAAAAATTGTTCACGTGTGCAAAGCTCCTTGCACCAGTAAGCGCTTCCTTTTGCATTTCAGAAGACAAACCCGCCATGCATCGAGCTTGACTGTTTATCGCGATCATTACTAAAAGTCCAAATATATCAGAACCGAAAACGTATTCATTAATTACATACCACGCGCATATGATTCGAACCGACAATCATAGGTTTCTGGCATGCCCAAGGGACGCAACTCTGCACGGCGAATCGCGGCGCCTTAGACGACTGGGCCACCCGTGCCCCCTTATATTTCAATATGATCTACTTAAAGAGAATGATGAATATATTTAAGTGGTCACTGTTTCTGTATGGAAATCCAAGCAAAATGTGCTGTTTTATTAATTTCTTCTTTTGAGTCAGTTTTCCCGTTCCTGCTCGAGAAAGCATAAATATCTGTTCGTCCCATCTTCATTGGTCTAATATACATCATTCAGCGGACGAAGGAGCAAGAAGTAGCTCTGAATTGTTGTGACAAAGAATAAATGACGTTTCTATCCATAAAGAGTCATGCATTTAGGTCTAATATTGGTAGGGTAGGTAAAAGATGGTAATGATCTTGGACTGACACCATTGTAAGGACTAAGGAAGTATCTTCCATACAGTGAAAACGTTATAGATGGTTATATAATGGCTAGAATTCCAATTATATATTTCTTTCCAACACAGCTTCCCATTTTGGTAATGTTGATTCTGTTTTTCAAAAATACTTAAGCAAGCCCCTGATATACTGGAAAAAAACAATTTACGCATGTCTCGCATTGTAGGATAAAGTTATGTGTCCCGACCTGACTATCCTGAACAGAAGATTATATTTAAGTGTCCAAAAATGCAGTTCCTTATATTTATTAATTTTAAAATATTATTAACACTTAACAAGTATTATGTAACCCCATACGAGGAATACAGCTACATATATGGGCACATGATCACTCATTTGGCCAATACTCAGGTGATACTTACTCTACGTACATTAGGTTACTTAGTCTTCATATCATATTTATACATTTCAGCATAACAATATAATGAACATAGATCTAAGTTTAAGACAGTTTTAGACAAGCAAATAAAATCCGTTTTCAGATTATTTACAAGTATGCTTTTGCGAGATTGAACGGAATAGGTGGAGCTTTTTCAAGGGGAGTCACTCTGAAAATTAGGTTTTTGTGGAAAACACCCTTGCGGTTTTGTTCGCAGAAGATACAATTGACACAGCCGATCTTTTCAGTGTGGGTAAATAGTCTTGATTTACATTCACATTGTAGGTTGGCCACAGTTTTTCGTGTCGATGTTGTTTTTAAGATAAGGGCGTATAACTTGCGCCCATTAGTTACTGGTCATTCCTAAGTCAAGTAAGCCTAAATCGAAACTTGTATTGATAATCATGTCTATGAGCCCAGAGCCGTTGGCTAGTCAAACCCGTCAAACAAGACCGTTGGTCATACCTTGGCTTTAGCCCACTATCTTGATCTTTCGTGAACAGGCGATTCATCAGCCCAGACTGGTCAGCTGTCAAACACAGGAAAGGCTTAGTGTTTTGTTTAATAATGTAAGATAGTTTGTTTCCGTTGATGATGTCAGCCAAATTGGCTACTATCTCTGATAAAGAAAAACTCTGTCTGTAATAATGAAGAACAAAACACAAGATGTCTACCATACCAGAGCAATCATCATTTGACACTGACTTTTGGACTTTGGGCTTTTGAGTAACATTCACAAACTATGACTATATTGCATACATACGTCAAGCATTTTGGGCCTACCTTTAGAATACAGTACCACAAACTTTTCAAACACGTGATTATACCCTATGACGTAATTTGTAGTATTTTGTTGCCAGTCACACCGGCCAAACAATGCCCTGTGACGTCAGGGGTCATCGAGTGTGCATAAGCTCCTCCAAGTGATCTATCATCTCTACACGAAATGTCATTGAATACGCCAAGCGCTGTGGAGAGTTTTGAATATTTGTTTACTGAATATAGCCTGCGGCGGCGCATTTTATAGCAAGCGCTAGTTTACGAAAGCACTTTTATTTTTATATATTTTTTATTTCGTTTTTCTCGTAATTCAAGTGGCTAAAAGGGTTATAAATGGGAACTAATATACATATATGATTTTTTCGCTGCATTAATTTTCATTATTATGCACAAGAATGTAGTTTATTAGGGATATTATATTGGTGCTGAACACATCCAAATGTTGCCAGTGTTAGGGTAGGTTACCCCGAACTCTATCCTTAGCCCTTGGATCCCCTTTACGATAAATCACCCCTTTACGATCATTAGGTAAGGAACCCGTTTAGTGGCTCATAGATTACCCTAAGTCTATCCTTAACCCTTGGATCCCCTTTACGATCAATCACCCCTTTACGATCATTAGGGTTAGGTACTCGTTTAGTGGCTATTATAGATTATATAGCGGCTCCTAATATTCTTCACACAAAAACGTCGAGTAAAAAGGATGAAATGGTTTTGTGTCGAATATTTTGGCTACTGGAAACTGTCCTGGAACATTCACACAAGCCACTTTCACCTGCTACATTTTTTCAGTACTGATTCAAAAGCGAACTCACTGTTGTGTCGTCACTAGTCATGCTTATTCCTCCATTGTTCCTTACTATTATCCACATCATCCTTACAGTGTTCCCTACCACACTTTTCTGTCACAAAAATCACCCGACGAATTATTAAATACCATATCATTCATGCATACTCACGAGTTCGACGTCTGACGCCTGACGCCTGGAGCCGTTTTCAGTTCGCGGCATATCGGCTCATTCCCCACCACTCGGTATCTTGTAGATTACGGAATGGGACGAGTGTGCCAAATGGCATCGGGATCATTCGCTAGTGTCCGTAGACTAAAGTCGCGAGACACCATGCCTACCCGTAACCTTCGTAAGTGTCCGTCACCTATTCGACCCTTTTCGTTCAGTTCCGTAACGTCATAGGCATGACTAGGTAAATTTGCTCTAAGTTTAACATTGTGGACGTAGCTCAGTCGGTTAGCTGTCAGGCTAACAATCCGAAGGTCACTGGCTGCTTGTCTTGAGACATGTGACCTACGGCAGAGATCGTCCTCATGAGAAGTTGTGGTACTGTATTCTAAAGGTGCTCCGTACATTTAATTATTGCCCTTTTGCTGTTTGAATATAAAGGTATCATGTTGATTAAATTTGTTACAGAAGTAAACAGTATATAATAGTAATTAGCATGATTAGTGTTCTTAATAAGTGTGACAAGAAGTAAAATGCATGGTAGACACAATTTTATGGACAGTCTTGCTTGTCCGACAACGGTATAAGGATCTATACCGAAATGTCGCTTTTTACGGTATTAAAGAAGTTGTTTTCCATAAAATTTTCCTATGTCTTCCCTGTCATCCGTCAATTTCTAAGTAATGCCTGTCAAACAAAGTAAAATGCATGTTAAATTTTGTTTTTGCTTAATAATGTGCCAGAATTACTAATCACTAATGAAGGTTGTGTATAACTGCTTTCATCTCTTGACTGAATTTTTGTTTGCCAAAAGATTCTGTAACATGTTTAACTTGTGATCATTGCATTGTGCAAAAAGGATTAGTAGCTAATAATGTTTGGCACTGTGTACGAAGCGCTGCTTGCATTTATGCACATATGACCTGCACTCCTCCCTTTAAGATGTCTACCATATGTGCAATCATTAGGGTTAGGGAACCCTTTCATGCTACCATAGGGCTGGAATCTCCAAGGGCATAGTTGTGATGAAACATGCTCTACAGTTGCTTCTGTCTTGTAAATAACTTTATATGAGTGAATGTTGTTTTATGCTACAGTCAACAATTTTACTGTTGTCATGGCAGCCTGTAATAAGTTGCATCTGGGCAAGACAAACAAGCTGTGGATCATGACTGCTAGAGCAATCATCCATGGCATCAGGACACGATGACACTTTGACGGATGTATTAATGGGACCATAGTCACACATTATATCCACCTGGTTCTCATTCTATGTTGACTGTCATGACAAGCATGTGGTACTGGCAACCTTCTCTGTACTTGAATTCATGAGACTACTCTGATGTGGAAATGTTCCTGAATCGTATGACCATGTGTGCATCCTGTTATTATCATCACTGCATGTATTAATATCGTTGCTGCATCTGATATCATCACTGCATCTCTTAATATTGTCGCCGCATCTGATACCATCACTGCATCTATAAATAACATCACTGCATCTGATATCACTGCATTTATTAATATCATCACTGCATCTATTAATATCATCACTGCATCTGTTACCACGGTTACTATTCACCACTGATTCTGTAATTATCTCCATATTTCTTACAATCATCACTGCATCTGTTACCACAGTTACTATTCACCACTGATTCTGTAATTATCTCCATATTTCTTACAATCATCACTGCATCTGTTACCATGGTTACTATTCACCACTGATTCTGTAATTATCTCCATATTTCTTACTATCATCACTGCATCTGTTACTATCATCACCTACATTTGTTCTTTCAGTACCTAGGATGACCAAGAGTTCTGATGGCAGGAAGTAGAGTAGACATCAAAGTGGTTCTTTTGGGGAAGGCATACGCAGGGAAGACAAGTCTTGTCGAGCGCTACATCCATGACCGATTCAGTGGCGATGTGGTGCCATACCAGAATGTAATGGTTTGACAGTTTGCTGCACTCTTCTGTTGCCTGTGTTCGTCACACACTCACACCCGTATGCTGCTGCATAAAGCCTAAATCTATTATTGTTCCTCACCATGATCTCCACTCCAAACAAAACGTCAAAATAAATGTCAAGCTCAAGCTCACCCCAACTCAAGATTTGCTCACTGAAATCAGATTCAGCATAGCTACCACAGACAGAGCTCTCTCAATTGGTGTCAGATTTATTCAGACCTGCTCAGAGGCCGATATGGGGCCCTAAGTCTGCAACAAATGTCAGGAAAATTACCAAATTTGAATTAAAAACTTCCCAATTTATGTCCATATAGTTATCAGTATGGTACAGATTTTAGAGGTGGTTTGTATTTCACTAACAAGAGGAACAATCAAGGAGGAGAGGCTTTAATGCATGGTTTATCATTATTGCATGGAATGCAGTGTTAAAATACCATGTTGAAATACACCTGAATTAAAGAAATTCAAACTTTAAAAAAAATCCCATTGTTGAACAAAAAGACAATTTTTTCCTAATTTCCCTGACAAGGACACTTCGTTTGGAATCCTGGGTAAATTCCTGAGTGATGTGCTTGTCAGGTGTCTGTACTGGTATTATGGTATATGTCACTGTTCTTGATGTGTTTATTTGTCATGTCTGCTTGAAAGTAGTCGTCAGTGTACTAATTTTCCCTGCTTTACTAATATCTGAATATGTTATTTTGGTTAATTTGTCTGAAGTCATGAAATCTGATTAGTGAAATCTGTTTTCATTGTTCTGTTGTAATTGTCAGTTAGGCCTGAAAAAAGAATGTTGTTCTGAAGATTCAACAACAATTGATCAAATCTGGAGAGTTCAAAAGAAGGCAATTAATTGTCTCTGGCAAATTCCCACCATACATATTTCATGTAACAACAAAACAAGTAACCATGGCAACATCATTGGAACTGACACTGCTCTGTTCAAATGTTTATTGTATTGTTAATCTTGTATATATACTTTACTTTATTTTACTCGTGTTTCTCCAGACAATCGGGGCAGCTTTTGGTGCCAAGAAGATGGACGTTGATGGACAGGCCCTCGTAATGGGAATATGGGTTAGTGGGATAAAATCCCTGAACATGCTGATCGTGTATTGTCTCTTATAGATCTATATATTTACAGTTCCATTGCTTGATCACCCTTTTGGGGACACTCGGTGACTTGGATTATTGCATGTCATCGAATCCTAATTGCTCAAATTGATGATTGTAATGTCAGTCTCTGGATGGTCTGGCCCATACGATCATTTACATACTTCTATTATATAGCTGGAGTATTGCATAGTACAGCATTTAACAACAAAAAACAAATGTTAGGTAACTACATCTTCCCAAGGCAGGAGAGTTAACAAACTGTAAAAGTCCAGTTTCCACCCTTGCCGAACTAGGCTGGAATTCCGGAGTTATATTTTGGCTGGACTAATGAGTACATGCATAGTCCAATCAAAATCGCTAAACGAACAAGACATGGATTTCAACGTGCAGATTTCGGTTGATTGCAGGATTTGCAAAGCATGCGTTCTGTCAACTGGGTGTCGACAGATATTTTCCAAATCTTTTCATGGTTTTAATCTAGGTGCTCAAATGCTTTCATGCACTTTGCGAGGTAAGACCCATTTTGTGACGTAGATCTTGATTATTGAACAGATCATCTTGACTTAGCGTTGCCATTTTGTGTTTGAAGCAAATGTAAGTGGTGTGAGAAGTGGAATCTGATTGGTCAATAGAAGGGACAAAGAAAGGGCATAACTCATAAAAGCCACTGGTGGCCACAAAAAAATATTGAGCCACGTAATTCCAGTGTAGTTCGGCGTGGAAACTGGACTTTTGTAATCAGTAAACACCCTTGCCTCGGGAAGGTGGGTAACTACCACTACATCATCTTCGTTTAACAAAGTTCACAACATAGCTTATACTCACAAAAACCAGTGATGTGATGAACAACCCTAGTTGGGCATTATCTAAGAATCGACTTCAGTACATTTTTTGCATTTGTGGAGTTATAAACGTGAAAAATGATTTGTAAATATGCCAATACAAAATTGGTGTTATTCAACATAATAATGCAACACAGCCCTGCCCATTGTATTATTATCCAATCAGGAAACAGTGGTCTGTTAGTGCATCTAGCCTAATTTTGTTTAGCTTTTCGGTTTAACCAATCAAAGGACAGAAAGTTGCCAATATATTTACCGGAGCTCAATGGGCGACATTTAATGCTTATAACACTATTATTAAAGACATCTGACCTGCGACCCGTGAAGATCCGGGGTAGAATATGTCTTCAGTAACCTATGCTTGCCATAAAAGGCGACTATGCTTGTCGTAAGAGGCGACAAACGGGATAGGGTGGTCAGGCTCGCTGACTTGGTTGATGCATGTCATTGTATCCCTATTGCGTGGATCGGTGTTCATGATGTCAATCACTGGAGTGTCTGGTCCACTTGATTATTTACAGACTGGCGTCATATAGCTGGAATATTGCTGAGTGACGCATTTAACAACAAACAAATAGACAAACAAAACACATGACCTGCACTAATTTCATTTGAGTGTCAATTTTTTCAAATTCAATTTGATATTCTGCATGCTACCAAAGATGTGAACAGTACTGAATAAAGGAGAGATTGATGTGATGTAATGCAGGACACAGCAGGAAGTGAAAGGTACGAGGCTATGAGCAGAATCTACTATCGTGGTGCCAGAGCGGCCATCTTGTGTTTTGACTTGACAGACAAATCCAGCTTTGACCGTGCTCGATTCTGGATAGGCGAACTCAAGGCCCATGAAGAGGTGTGTTGAACTTCTGGCTCAGTGTGCTCATGTTATGAATTAGTTTATTTGTTGATTTCATGTTTGGAAGAAAAGCAAGAACCATTTGGCGTTTTAGGTAAGGTAACAGACAATGCAATAAAAATGTAACATTCAGCATCTTAAGAGAATATTGAAATTAAAATTGAGAAAATTGCAAGTGGTCCTTGCTCGCATTGATTAAACTTCGTATTTATCTCTCAGAAATGACTGTTGATAAGGCGGCCTCACTGCACACTTTGAATAGCGGATATACCAACTTGGATATAAAAACAAACAACTATCTATTCCACATCACAGTTTATTGAGCAGCAGTTGTAGCAAGTATGATACAATATAGTATTCAGACTGTAGAAAATACATAATGGACATCCGGTGGGTTATCACTGCTGGGATGAGGAGACCTACTCACTCGTGTCAAACTAGGCATCGTTGAGTGCTCCAGCAAGTCCAGACAGATGCGACCCATGTAGCGCGCTGTATTTTGTTCTTGGCGACTGCATCAAAGGCTGACACGACCCAGCATGCATGGATAGGCTTCATCCCATTTATCCTCAGATCTACACTCTTTGTCCTGTCATCTGCCTTCTAGTTTGTTGACACCTTCTATACATACAGAATAAACATTGATATAACCTTAGTGTTGTCAGGAAAACACTATTGTTTATATGGAAGTACTCTACTCAGCGAAAATTAGCAGTGCTATTTGCTGTTTGATTTGATTGAGGTTGGATTACTTGGGACAGGGGGAAGTCGTATTATTACTGAGTTGCAGTTTGGGTTAGGGGCCAGTTGTCCCATTTAATTGGAGACGCATTTATATCAAGATTTTCAGTGTGTTTTGCTGTTATTGAACTAGACACTTGACAGTTGTTTGTTTTCTGCAGAGTTGCAAGATCTACCTGTGTGGTACAAAGAAGGACTTGGTGACCAATGACCCGGAGTTACGGCGGGTGAACGAGAGAGCAGCGAAAGCATTGGCTGATGGTACGACAGACTCTTGGATACATCCAGATACACATAAACTCAATATCTTTGAAATACTTCTGTATTTTTCATAAAACATTATGTCATATTGGCGGGGGATATGAGTATTTCATGCTTGTTGGGGTTTGGTTCCAAATCCTGGCTCACCCTGATTATGTTTCTTGGTTTGTCAGCATCATACCTGTGATTGTGGGTTTCTCCATCACTTTGGGCTTCTACTTGAAGCTGAGATGCTGTTATATGATCGATATGTTGCTCAAAGTGTCGTTAAACTCACTTTTTATTTCAGTAATAGATTCTACTTTGACAAACATTTTAAAACTTATTCTCACACTGCATTTCTTCCTTCTCTCGATCATACTGTGGAAACATGCTTGAACAAAATTGCCAGCTTCCAAAAACCATTCACCCGAACACATCCTTGCATCACGATGGTCACCACCCAAACAGGTGGGACACGCACTGTAAGGTGACTGTGTCCCCTCCTCCATTTCAACTTTGCCTCAGAATGATGGTACGTGTTCGTCCTTTACCTCTCACAGGGATCGCTCTCGCGTGTCGGCCAGGGATCACCGTTCTTCATCCAGGAATTGACGGTCTAAGGAGTGACGATTGAGGATTCAACAATCTCAGGATCGCTCCTCAAAGAATCGACACTCTAAGGATCACCATTCCGAGGATAGCCGTGCCAGTTTACAGGACACCCCACTCGGGATCGACACTAACACGATCTACACCTGGGAGATCGACCTTCTCAGAATCGATGGTCTCTCACTGATGCTTCCAATTCGTCACATACTACTCCTGCTCAGCATGACGATCATGCGCTTCGGAGGGTGAATATTATACAGACACAGCTGATTGTTCATCGCCTTTGTATCACACCCGTCTTCATGTGATACAGATTATTGTTGTGGCCGCTCATACGACTCTAACCCTCATTGACAAGACTTTCGTCCTTTGTCTCGGGATCATTGTCGCCACAGCGACTATAGGGATCAACATCACAGTTGGGATTGATACCCCCGCATATGAATCATTATCATCCCATGCTAGTCTACTCTTATGCAACGCCTTATCCTGACTACCTCCTGTGCTGACTACTACTGCTTCGCTACTACTCCCGAGGATGCGTCCTTAGATCACTGTCACATCTGCCACTTGATTGGTTCGCTGTTCTCTCAGTCATTTCCGACTCCTACCGTGGCGATCAAACCATCCACTCAGCCGGTGACTACTTCTGGGACCATCACGACCAGACCAGTGTTCTGGCCCCCGAGTAGCTCCTGCAGGCTGTCACATCAGCCCTACAGCACCATTCCTGTCAGCCGATTGTACCTCTTCATGATGGTTCGTTCCTTCTGGATCCGCAGTTCCTGTTCCCCAAGTGTTACCACTGTGTCACCTGTTATCGACTTGGATCATCAGCCTTCCCCCACCTTGTCTACAAGGAGCTTTGAAATAGCAACCCTGCGTTTGCCCCTTTCCTTTGATTGTGGACAGTCTTAGCTCAAGCGAAGTTCTTCAGCAGATGGACCGCCTCCGTGGTCTAGTGGTAGAGCGTCCGCCCCGAGAGCGGAAGGTCCGGGGTTCGATCCCCGGCCACGTCATACCAAAAGACGTTAAAAGATGGTACTTGTTGTTACCCTGTTTGGCGCTCGGCATTTAAATGGGCTAAAACAAGGACTGGTCGGCTGGGAGTCCGTAATACTGTGTCTGAGTGGGGTATCATGGTATCTCAGTGTGCTAGCACTATAAATCAACATCAGTCCGGACTAGTACAAGCAGCCACACACACACGTGCATGCACGTCGCTATATAAGTGCACTAATCTTGGACGCGATGTTAAACCCCATTTCACCTCACCTCACCTCTTCAGCAGATGATTGGCTGTCATGTTTCCCACTGTTTCCCACTGCCGGTTCCTCTACCATCATGCTTCCTGCCTGGCTTATCCTGTCTGATGTCGCTTCTAACCTCAACAAGGCCTTTGGTACCTTCCACCAACTACGTGATTGATTACAGACTCCTCGCTCCAACTTTGACAACTCCAGCACGCATGGATTGTCTTCTACAGCTGTGGTTCCCAAACTAGATAGTGGTCTTGCGACTCTGTGCCCCTCGCGTTCTCGTGCTCTTGGATACTACCATTCAGCAAACACCGTCTGCAACGGAAGCCAAGCTTTGGCCATGTCGTGCATACACCTTTTGCCCTACCGGCATTCTATCTCGGGTCATTCAGAAGGCGGCGTCCACCTATTACTTGTGACTGCTTTTGGTTGTGCCCTATTTGCCAACTCAGGGTTGGTTCACAACGCTGTTTAACTTCCAGTGAGAGACTCTACAATCTTCTACTCCAGCCTCACTCCCACCTGCTATACCCATTGCACGAATCCCTCCATCTTTCCATCTGGCTCATCTCCAGAAGTCGCTTCTTGCCAAACGGTAAACACCAAGCCGACCAACAGGTTGCTTCTCCTCATCAGGTCGCCAGTTATCTCGAACATTTGCGATCAACTCAGAAGCTTAAATGGTCCACTTTAGTTACCTTATCTCACGGCAAGCAACTGTCATTGCCACTACAACCGGATCAAAGATCTCTATGGTTGGTGAGCTACAGTCTCTCAAGTTGGCTGTAAGTTGTCTCACTTCTGGACCCCCGCTTGAGATTTTGACGTCATCCTCCGCCATTTGACTTCTGCTGAGTATATGAACCACTGGCTGACAAGGACTGATCACCTTAAAGACGTTTTTTTCTCCTTGCCCTTGCAACTGCTGCTAGAGTGAGTGCTTTGGTTGTTAACAGGGTCCAGTTTGAGCGATTGCAGAATGGGAAGGTCTTTCTGGGCTTAAGCTGGGACCTCATCATGAACAATCAGCTTCCAGGACAGCCAGACCGTTTGTTTACCATCCCGTCACTGGTGTCCATCCTGAGCCCAGATGACCACTTGCCCAGTTGGAGCACTCTGTATCTACCTCAAGTCTGTGCGTCTACTTCAGCGCTCCCATTAGAGACATTTCATCCCACTTTCTACAGCGGCCACAACGGAAGTCTCCTGTACTACAATCTCCGTTTGGCTTCATCCGCCTACACCTTCACTGGATTGCCTCTACCTGGGACGTCCAATCCATATGAAGCTTGAGCTGTCACCTCTACCACGACCTTGAACAGCGATGATACCCTCTCCGCCATTATGGAGGGATGCTTTTGGAAGTGATACTGTCTTCGCTTCCCATTATCTACGTGACATCTCTGTCAATAACGTTCAAGGCATCCACCAGTCCAGTGCAGATGGATGATACACATATTCCGTCCTGCTAATCAGTACTTCTTGGAACTATCACACCTGTGTTCATTGTCTATATTATTCAGGTTCCCAGGCTGAGTACCAGTTCCCATTGGGGGATGAGACATCTTGTACATAGAAACTGCATTCTCCTACCTTACACGCTATATGCCTGACCCGACCCGACCATCCCCACATCACAGCTCCTCCAGCTGTCAGCTCTGAGAAAGAGAATGATGTGGCAAGGGTAGTCAGGTGATCATGTCATGTCGGTCGCTATGCATGTGATTACAGAGGGTGACTATTTCTTTTGGTGACCATGGCGATGCTTGGATGTGTTCGGCTCAATTGTTTTTAGAAGCTTGCAACTTTGTTCAATGCAAAGTGTGAGATAGGTATATAAAGTATGTAAATATGCAATTTAATGTAAGATTTTTAGATTGGCATTAAACCCACTTCACTCACTCACTTTTTTCTTTACAGATTGCATGTCTGATATATACGAGACTTCCAGCAAGTCAGGAGAAAACATCAGTAAGTGTGTGAGGTGTATATTGACGTGCTAGGCACATCAGACCGTCAGTTTGACTTTACATTGACATGCTAGGGTCAGTTTGACTGTACATTGACATGCTAGGGTCAGTTTGACTGTACATTGACATGCTAGGGTCAGTTTGACTGTACATTGACATGCTAGGGTCAGTTTGACTGTACATTGGCATGCTAGGGTCAGTTTGACTGTACATTGGCATGCTAGGGTCAGTTTGACAGTACTTTAACATGCTAGGGTCAGTTTGACTGTACATTGACATGCTAGGGTCAGTTTCACTGTACATTAACATGCTAGGGTCAGTTTGACTGTACATTGACATGCTAGGGTCAGTTTCACTGTACACTGATGTGCTGGCTGGACAAGACTGTCAATGTCACTATATTAGAGTTACCATCAACTTAGGACACAGACAGATATTGTGTAATGTGTATTTTTAAAAGCCTGTCTCTTTTTCCAGATTATTTTACCTCAAATAGTAAGAAGTTATTCAGCTGGTGATATTAACTTGGAGTCAGTTTTACCCACATAGTTGTGATGATAGCATATGTTTTGTCAGGTAATTTTAACATGATAAAATCTAAATTATTTGAATGTTTAAAGTTAATCTTTTTCTCTTCTTTTCAGAGGAGTTGTTTGTACAGATAGCCAAAGATTACCTGGCATCCGTCAGACCAGAAACACCAGAGAGTAAGTTTGTAGAGTAGTGTAGAAGTATCAAAGTAATTAGTGCCCTTTTGACGAATAGACTCTAAGTGGTAGAGCTGGCTATCGATATGAATCTTATAGATCGATAATCATTAACTAAATTTCGATCAATTATCGATTAATATTGGAGAAGTAACTTTGAGCAAATATGCAAAAACCATGGCAACAAAACAACATATTTCATGTCACTGGTGAGTTGTGACACCTTTATGCAAGGAAAATTTGTGGGCATTTAAGAAAATATTTCGGCATAACAAAATCAGTTGCTTTCTTTCCCGGCAATGGACAAAAACAAGTCTGCTTCAGATAATTAATACTTTATTTCTTTACAAAAGTTTATACAAGATATTATCGATGACACAATCTTCTAATGGATAATTGTTTATATTTCTTCCCATCGACGATAATTCAGATTATCGATCTTTTGTAGCCAGCCCTCCTAATTAGGGATACCATTTAAATAGCATAGCTTGGCAGATCTTTGTATGCTGTTCATTCAGTGGTTTCACTGTTGAGTGAATTGTAAATAATCCTGTGAGGCGGATTCTTTTGATCTTGAGCATGCACAGATGTCTTCAGTCAATGTTGTTTATTCGGATCACAGACACGTAAACACATGATCAGAAGCACTTGTATTCAGGTCGTGGGTAAGGTCGTTAGACCGTAGTCTGTTTGTGAGGTGAAATGGCTTTAATCTTGAATGTGAGTTAAACTCCATTTCACCTTACTCCCTCTGGTTGTGTTTTGCAACCTTACTTATCAACCTACATGGCCAGATTAGGTTCTAGTGATGAATGGCTTCGTGTCCAAACGCTGCTGAGATTTGATGATAGGATTCTTGTCTTTGAAAGGCATTTAGAAGTGATACACATAAGAAAGAGAGTTGATGGATGTCAACTTCTTTATTATGAGGAACATTTCAGAGTGAAAGGCCTTAAGGGGGATATAGGATTGGGTTCTGTTTGTCCCTCACGTTGCGTAGCATTTCTGGAGTGGAACTCAAAAACCACCTGTATCTTAACCAAACTTGGCACATAGATAGGTCTAGTGGTGGACTGGTACCTTTTGATAATTTGGGATTTTAAATTTTATTATTTTTTAGAGTTTCCATAGCAATAACTTTGACAGACTGAAAATGGCGGTAGTGCTTATTTCCAGAGCAGATCTTGAAAACTGTACAATAGTCCTTGCCTTACACACAACCAGGCATGTCATATTGGTGGGGGATAGGAGTATTTCATGCTTGTTCTCACTGGGGATTGATACCGGAGAAGGAGTGTTGAGTATGTTGATTGTATAATGTAACCCCGTACGTCCTGTGTCTCATGGTTACCTACAGTTACAAACTGCCCCCATGGTCTAGTGGCAGAGCATCCACCCGGAGAGCGGAAGGTCTGGGGTTCGATCCCCGGCCGCGTCATACCAAAAGATGTTAAAAGATGGTACTTGTTGTTACCCTGTCTGGCGCTCGGCATTAAGGGGCTAAAACAAGGACTGGTCGGCTTGGAGTCAGTATACTGTGTCTGAGTGGGGTATTCATCTTAAACTGCGGCATGGTATCTCAGTGGGCGAGCACATCATAGAGCTGGAATATTGCTGAATGAGGTGCCAAACAACAAACAAACAGTTGCAATCATTGGAGATCTTGCTGACATTTGGTTACCATGGTTACTTTGCAACATACCATATATCATGTGTCTCTCTGTTGGTGAACTAACTGGATCGGGGACCCTTGAAGATCCGGGGTATAATAGGTCTTCAGCAACCCATGCTTGCCGTAAAAAAGACGACTATGCTTATCGTAAAAGGTGACTAATGGGATCGGGTGGCCAGGCTCACTGACTTGGTTGATACATGTCATCGTATCCCAAGTGCATAGATTGATGCTCATGATATTAATCACTGGAATGTCTGGTCCAGACTCGATTATTTACAGACCGCCGTCATATAGCTGGAATATTGCCGAGTTCGGCGTTAAACAACAAACCAACCAACCAACTAGATCGGGACATAAGACTGTCAAGTGCTTTGGGAAGCATTGTTTTATTCAGCACTCTTTAACTCCTGGTATAATTTCTTTATTTGCAGAAGGAAAAGATACCTTTGTATTACGTGAACTCCGCAAGTCCACGTGTATGTGTAAAGGCAGCTGACCTATCCCATGATGCCTTGCTGCTGATGTGAAGGAAGCTGTCATACACCACATTCATCGTCAACGTATCGTTGCCGTGGTGATAGCAGCACTGACTTTGACAAGGGGACGAGGCAGAAGAGAGGACTTTCAATTCTTGATTAGTCTCCATGGTGGACAATTATTTTACAGTTAATCAATATCTGATATTGCCAAGTCTCTGTGTTGCTTGCTTGAAGCCAACCTTCATGATATGAATGGTGCAATTGTACCTTTATTATCTCAGTTTTGAGAAAAGAGGATTTTTTAAAAGATTGTTTTGTGGTGTTTGTGTGGCAGTGAATTGTTAGGGCACAGCACATGTATGGTCTTGTGCTCAGTTGGGTTGGTGTCTGCCTGTCTATCCGCATGTAGGGTGGTCTGGTGGGTCAAGTTCTTGTCGCTCTAAATGCTCGAGTTCAAATACACACGAGAAGGAGTGAAGTGTTGGTTTGTAATATTCATGGAAAAAAACTTGTGAAATTAAATAAATACAAACACACAAAAAACACTTTTGAGTAGCTTTTGAAAAAAATATTCAGACAGTTGCCCAAGTTTGATATTTTTGTTAATAAGGCAAACCAATACAATTTCTTGTTTGACATAATAAAAAAAATATATTGTCAAGGTTGATTTGAAAATGCACTTAAATAAACAAAAGGGTTTTATCAGCTTTTTTTCAGTCCATCACAGGATATAATTACTTTCTCTTTTCACTTTGTAAAATTCAGCACTGGCCCTTGGTAAAACAGAAAACAAATGTCTCTAAAGATAGATTAAGACTTTTCTTTTGACCTTTACTCGATCTGTAAAATCATTTCATGTTGAATAAACTGACAGCATTATCTTACATTGTTTCAGCAACCCATGCTTGACGTAAGAGGTAACTAACAGGATCGGTTGGTCAGACTCTTTGACTTACTTAATGGCATGTCATCATATCCCCTCTATACTCATGATGTCAATCACTGGATTGTCTGGTTCAGACTCAATTATTTACAGACCATAGTCATATAGCTTGAATATTGCTGAGTGAGCTGATAAACAACAAACAAACTGATATTATGATGCATGTTGGCTATATTATATACAGATTATAGTTATTTTCTTATTGTATTAGTAGATGTTTTAATGTCGTAAAATAACTTTTGAAAGAATCTTGTTTCCAATACAACATTGCTGTTTCATGTTTGCTTATAACAAGTTTGTTATGGTTATTTGTTTTGTATATAGTAATTGATGATAATTTCTATGAAGAATACATTTTAGATTACTTGTTTATGTTAGACAGTAAACGTCAAAATATTTTTTCTCAGTTTTATCACTCTGTTAGTCCATGTTTTGACAGTAACCCTTTTGTGATGTATTCTGATTTTCTGATGTGTGTGTTGATTGGTCACTTGTACAGAAGTACCAGACAATGTGATTGGTGGAATGTTTGAATGTGTTGCAAGTCACTTCCTGTTTTCCAAAATAAACATACAGGGTTTTCTTATACCTCAAATATGTAACAAATACTTCCGTCTGTGATTGCTATGGTTACTCACAATGCTGCATTATTGTAGGGCTGGGACGGGTAACTCAGGTACTCGGGTACTCGGGGGCGAGTGGGTACTGAGTAGGACCCGGGTACCCACAGGACTACACGGGCCCGTTGTTTGTCACGTGATATATTGTTTAAAGACTAGAACTCAGTGAATACACTACATGTCACGAATGTTCACATTTCTTTCAGACTATTCACGCATTCTTTCTGACTGATATTATTTTGAATATAGATAAAGCTTCAGTCAACTTCAGATATTCATGACCAGATCGTTCCATAGTGTACCTGATTACCTTTTCCAGGGCTCTGGTCAAACAATTCCCAAACGGACATATTGTACCAGTCCCATGAGACCTACAGCAGATACCCGGATAGGTACGGGTAATAGGGGGTTGGGAACACGGGTAGTAAATCTGGACTCGTCCCAGCCCTACACAGTTGTCAGAGTCTAGGGTGTTTATTCCAGAGAATCTGGGCAGGGCCACATATTTTTTATGTTGATGGTGATTTCAGTGTGACAATCATACTTAATTCTGGAAGCCTTTAGAGATTCCCAGGTTAGACTAGGTCCCCAGCAAGTTATGCTTGTCAGAAAAGGTTCCTTAGTAGATTGGCATCTTCCCAAGGCAAGAGTGTTAACTGACTTTAGAAGTCAAGTGTCCACCCTTGCCGAACTAGGCTGGAATTCCTGGGCTCTATCGTAGCGCCGCCAGTGGCTATTACGAGTTATGTCCCTTCTATGCCTCTCCCATATGGACCACTCAGATTCCACCTCTCGTATCACATGCATTTGCTTCAAACAAAATGGTGGCGCCCAGTCAAGACGATCTGATCGACCGGTTCTTACTTCGCGAAGTACATCAAACCACGTGAGCACCGTGATTAAAAACATGAAAAGATTTGGAAAATATCTGCTGACGAGTTGGCGATGCACATGTTTTGCAAATCCTGCAATCGACTAGTCGAGCCAGACTGTAACTCCATAATTCCAGCATAGTTTGGCAAGGGTGGAAACTGGACTTTTATAGTCAGTTAACGCTCTTGCCTCGGGAAGATGTAGATTGGTGACTTGGTTGACTTTGTCATCACATCCCAAATAGATAGATCGATGCTCATGATGATCACTGGATTGTCTGGTCCAGATTTGCCAATTTACAGACCGTCGTCATATAGCTGAACTACAACAGCCTATGCTGGTCAAGAGGCGACCAAATGGTTGGGGTGGTAGAATTGGTGACATGGTTGATAGCGTGTCATCGTACCCCGACAGAACGGGTCATTGCTAGCACGATCAATCACTGGATTGTCTGGTCAGTACTTGATTTTTTTCGATTGCTGTCATATACCTGAAATATTGCTGAACGCAGCATTACACAGAACAGACTTTATTCAGAAGAATATAGATTTACTGTCATGTTGATAGTATTTCTGGATGAAATTTCAGATAAAAAGAGTTTCAACTGAACAATTTGGGCACTGTTTCAAGTGATGTTAGTCATATGTCATGTTCTTTTTTTATGAATATTAATTTTGTAAGTATAATCATGTAAATTTATATTGCATATTAACATCAGCAGAATATGTTATTTTGTTGACAATTGTTTTCATTCAGTTTCCCAAATCATGTCTGTACCAGACTCATTGTATAATGCCATGTGTCTGTACCAGACTCACATTGTATAATGTCATGTGTCTGTACCAGACTCACATTGTATAATGTCATGTGTATGTACCAGACTCACATTGTATCATGCCATGTGTCTGTACCAGACTCACATTGTATAATGTCATGTGTCTGTACCAGACTCACATTGTATAATGCCATGTGTCTGTACCAGACTCACATTGTATGATGCCATGTGTCTGTACCAGACTCACATTGTATAATGCCATGTGTCTGTACCACTCACATTGCATAATGCCATGTGTCTGTACCAGACTCACATTGTATGATGCCATGTGTCTGTACCAGACTCACATTGTATAATGCCATGTGTCTGTACCAGACTCACATTGTATAATGCCATGTGTCTGTACCACTCACATTGTATGATGCCATGTGTCTGTACCAGACTCACATTGTATGATGCCATGTGTCTGTACCAGTCTCACATTGTATAATGCCATGTGTCTGTACCAGACTCACATTGTATAATGCCATGTGTATGTACCAGACTCACATTGTATAATGTCATGTGTATGTACCAGACTCACATTGTATAATGCCATGTGTATGTACCAGACTCACGTTGTATAATGCCATGTGTATGTACCAGACTCACATTGTATAATGTCATGTGTATGTACCAGACTCACATTGTATAATGTCATGTGTATGTACCAGACTCACATTGTATAATGCCATGTGTCTGTACCAGACTCACATTGTATAATGCCATGTGTATGTACCAGACTCACATTGTATAATGTCATGTGTCTGTACCAGACTCACATTGTATGATGCCATGTGTCTGTACCAGACTCACATTGTATTGTGTCTGAACAGACTCATCCTATATTAGATATTATAACAAAAGTGCCCTATACACTGGCATACAGTTGATGTATCTTCAACATGAGTATTTCAAATCAATTTGCAGAGGTTGGCGATCAGTGACAGCACATTACAAGGAAGGCTGTGATTCCTTATACATGGAAACCAGTGTTAAAGCAGCTTTAACGACTCACTCACTCACTTATCAAAAATCAGAAACCATTTATTATGTTTTTAAAACATTTTACAGGAGTTCCATCAATGTAAACCTATCTATCATGTTGATAATAGTTACCCAAGATTGTGTTTGTCAGTGCAGAGTTGCATCCCTTGAATACCATGTAACACCATAGGAGCCATGGTCTGTCAACCTCACCTTATAAGTTCTCTAATGTCTACAAAACAAAAAATAAAATTCAAATGGAGCCTTAAATAATCCATAATTTCAGGAGCTGAGGCCATCTAGAGTTGCCAAATCATACTAGACTTGAGTTGGACTCCTTTGTTTATTTATTCTCTCAGGTCTGGAAGACGGACTAACATTATTGTCTGTTAGTTAACTTTTCAGGTTCGATTTCACCACTGCTGTATACATGACTTTTACCAAGTGGTTATTGTCTGCGAGCTGCATCACTCTGAGCTCTCCTCCCACATAAAGCTGACTGTTTGTGATATAACTGAAAAACTGTACAATATGTTTGACCCATCTCACTCACCCCTGTAGACTAACATTTAGTCCCAGATAAAAAGTTATCACATAGCTACAAAATCCCAAATAAAATCCCAAAGGAGCCTGGAGCTATGCACTAGACTTGAGTGGGAGACTATGACTATATTAGTGCCACAATGTTATTTTTGTATGCTTGGAGTCTGCAGATAATATGGTGCTGATTGATCATGAGCTGTCAGTTTTTAGATGTTGATTTCAAGATCCCTTGTTTTTGTACTGTTATGCAGATATAATCGTGATGTGCATACCTGTGTCAACACATATATATATATATATATTATATATATATATATACATACATTTACTCAAGGAAGTGTGAAGATTTCTCAAGATTTCTAAAATCAAGATACCAGACTTGATGCAGTCTCATTTAAATCAGACACAAAGTGGAAGCAAGCACTAAGATCTGGTTTTAATGAGATTGTTCTTGAGGTCAAGTTTTTTAGAATAAAATTCTGATGTGTTATACTTATATTATAAATATTGTTTTGTGAATATATCTGAAGATATTCAAAATTTGCATAATTATTTTTGAATGTCAAGATATGTTTCTGTCACCTTCAAACGAATGCAAAACTGAATTGCAATTCTCGGTCCACGAGGGGATATTGGAATACCATCTTCACTCTCGTATGCATGTAGTGCTGGACTTGTCACATGGGTTGTTGCAGTGATAATCTTACCATCTTATACTCCAGTAACAGATTGGTGAACATGTTGATATATCAATAACGGAAACTTGATAATTGTATGGATCATAAGCTTATGTAGAACTGTATACACAACATACAACTAGCCGAGACTAGTGTCTCTCAGAATCAACTGCAACAACAGCAAGACATCATTATAATGGTTTAGGTTTTAAGAAGGGAAAAACGTTGCACCACGTTTTTACTGCTTTATATCTCTATAAATGGGTGATGACCGAACCATTCCACCATTTCTATTGTAAGAAATTCACAACTGTGAGCCAGAACTTTTTTTCAACTTCTGAAAATTTTAATTTTAGAAAATGTAAAAATTGTAAAAATGGGGTGCATCTTCAGCCGTACCAGTGCAATAAACCTTCAAAGGAAAATGAAGACATTTTGAGTGTGGTGCTTCTAAAATGTTACAGTATGATAAATAGGAGCATGATCAGTTATTTCTGTTGGAGGTATATACAGGAACAGATCCCTTTCACTTCCCCACAGCTGGGATGACCTTCTCCTCAGCACGCATTGTTTCCTTGTCTACTTAAGATTGTTACCCACCAGACATCCACTTTCATTCCTCTCAGAAATGTGACTACAAAATTATGAAACATCTCATTTATATACACCTGGGAAAAAGTTATGCACCATTCCATTTTTTATATATTCCAAAATGTCATTACAGATTTTCATTCAATACAAGCATGTCACAAATGTGTTTTGTCAGAAAATATATGGCAATACGATAACTTATTTAATATGGAAATACACCACTCAACTTTTGATAGGGATTTCAGATTATGTATATATATGTTACAGGGAATATGTATAATCCCTGAAATTTTCTGGGAATATATTTAATGTCTTATTCACTCAGGGAATATACATTATCCCTAAAATTTTCAGGTATTATACATATTCCCTGATTTAACATCAAGTTTTTTAGACATATTCCCTGAAATTACTTTTGAGGTCAAACTTGATAAAAAAAATATTTATGAGAAGACAAATTTATTTGACATGATAACAAACATACATCAGGGAATCATTAGTGTTCACAGATTTTTCTAGGTCAGAAGGCAACAGATTTACTGGCTCTGGGGACTTTCACTTGACTCAACAGATGAGATTTTGTCTTTGTTCTTTGCGACTGCGTCAAAGGCCGACACGAGCCAGCGAGTATGTATTGTTTTAGAGGAAGTACATGTACTCTACTCAGCGGTGCTATTCGGTGTGTGATTGGATTAATGTAAGGTTGGATTAAGGCGAGGATTCTCCTGTATTTTCTTTAGATATAAATCCACTGATGCTTGAGAGGAGGGGGTGTGTCGCATTCATATTGAGTCGCATTTTTGGCTAGGGGCCAGGGGTCGCATTAATTTCACGATTTACAGTATTTTAATCTCATTTCTATCCTATGTTTTGATTACAGTTAAGACTAATTGTTGAGTTAAGTGAAAGGTATTTGTTATCATGTCAAATAAATTTGTCTTCTCGATTTTTTTAAATCAAGTTTGACCATATGAGAGCCTCAAAAGTAATTTCAGGGAATATGAAAACCCACATGAGAATCATCTTTGTGTATCATGGTAAGAGATACAAACTATCCTTATCAAACGTGGAATGGAACATGTAAGTTAGTGAAGCATATTTTCCAGGTGTATATTCATACCCGTTCATGAATAAACTTGTTAACACTGAATTTTTTATATATGTGAAATCAGCTGATACTGTGATATGGTCTTACCAGGTTTCAACAGTTTCTGTTGTTCATAGTCCAGTCATGTTCTTGCTTGCCTTCAGTGAAATGTTTCTGTTCATAGCTGTTTGTGTAAAACAAAATCTGTTGTCCTGTCTCACAATAAAGTCTGTTTAAATAACAATTGAGCCTTGTGATTCCTAGAACCAAAACGAGAGACCAACTGGTCAATTTATTCCCATCACTACAAAATGGCTGCTGATGTTTCTACAAGTAGCATAAAACTTCTTTGCCAAGGCTATTTTGCATGACCTCCACAGGGATTCCAGTTTTATATTTGGTCCCCAGCAACAAATGTCGGAAGAGGACAATTGGGTGCTCTTAGTGACTTCATTCACTCAATTGTCTGGTCCAGATTTAATGTTTTCCAGGCCGTTATCATATACCTGGAATATTGCTGAGTGAAGCGTTAAACAACAGAAACACACACACACACATATAATGTGCTTTCTTTGTAATTAGTGCTTCATAATATTCACTCTCACATTTTATCCATACTTTCGACCAACAGCATTCTTCATCAGTATCCGAAGTCTGACAAAATCACATGACCCAAGGAGTCACTTTTACCATGTTTATTGCCACAGCAGTACAGGGTTACTACAAGCTGTTCATAACAAAAAGATGAGTGGACAGACACTAGCGTCTTGTGTCATCAGCATCTGTGACCGTGGCAGAGGAAACGGTCTAGGAACAGTCACTAAGAAGCAATGTGTCGCAACAGGTGAACTACACAATAAGTATTGGTTATTATTGTTGAGAAACAACTAGAATTGTAAAAAGCATGTAATCCTACTTGAACACAGTATCCACTGGTAAACTTCACAACCACTTAGTGTCAGCAAATAAAATACTTAAAATTGTTCCTAAAACATTTCTCATGTAAAAATTGCACCATCTAAAGTCAACAAAGCATTCTGATCAGCATACGAACAGTCGCTTAAATACCAGGGGAGGGCACAGGCAGGATATATTCATGACATTTTAACAATTCACATAAACTGATCAACGGTTGCTTGTATTTTTCATGTGAAGACTAACTATATCATTCAGCTCGTGCCTTCTCAGCAAGCTTTGTGACTTCCCTTTAGCCAGCTACCTCTCACAGCCTCTGTTCACATCTTGCCATGACAAAACGCCCATGACAACGTTGTTGGGAATGTTTCCCTATCATTGCCAGTTCACAATTGTGAATGAAATGATAGAAAAGTATTTCAAATTGCGAACAGAGGGCCACAAGTGAATACCTGTAAAGGGAGAGAACTCTTCATTTAGGACAGGAAGCGGTTTACAACCGATTGCTTCCATCGCTGCTACATAACACTTGCCAGGAAAACAAAATGGCATTCATAACAAAACAAAAGCTTACATGATTGGTCAAATTTACACTGTACAGTCTTCAAGTGATTCCTCCGATACCTACTCCTAGCAGCATAAAACATCAACCCTTCCACCTCGTCCTAGCGACACCTTGCCACAGGCAGCTAAACGGACTCTAGTGGAACATCTAGCACTATGCTCACTAGGGTTGGCACCAAGTTATTTACAGGTTTAATATTTCTGCCCCGAGCTGGTTGAAACACAACCATGCCGCTAACTCTAGAATATGGACGTAACAGAATTATAAAAACACAAATGATGCTTAAAACTTGACAATCATAAAATAGAAAAAGCCTCAATTCCATGGTTAAGTAAGGCCATCATATCTCTTTCAATTATACAATCAAATGTACATAAGATTCTACTAAGCTATGTCACCATGGTAATTTCTACGATTTATCAGCTCATGCATGGGTACAAAACAAGGTTAAAAAGCAATTCTGGTCACTTGTTGATGTATGATTTTACACTTATTTACAAATGAGAACTACAACTAACACAAAGAGAAATAGGCTGACAACTGCAAGCCTATTATAGAACAGGATACTGTCATAGCTGGGCAACTCACATTAGAACCAACCAATTTTATGCTCAGATGATGCTATATCCAATTTATTATTAGAGCTGGTTATACACCTTTCTCAAATATATTCTTTTGAACTTCGTTTTTCCCCCATCTGTTCCAAATCTTAAATGATATATCAACGTCAGTGGTTTGCATAATTTATCCTCAATGTTATGCAACTTGTCCTGTGGCCTTATTTGCGGAAGGTAGATGCCCAGCCCCAATGGTACCAACATCAAGCATCCAGCAACAATGTCGAGAGAGAGAAAGGAAACACAGCCTTACAGGAGTGGAGACACAACTGTACACATCACAAACAATACAAAATTGTACACGTCTTCGTGTCAAGCCTCACAGCAAGGTCACGTACGGATCCATATCTGGTATATAAGTTACACAGGACTGTTGACATCGATACACACATCCAGAACGGAAACAGCAGAGTAACCTCCCCTGACACCAAAATCCCCAATCCCTGACATTTCATGCTCTGCTACCCAAGTCCAAAACGTATCAACAAACATCGGTGAAATTCTCAAGCAAGTCTTGACATGGTTTCCAATTCATCAAATATTGTGGTAACATGAAATGTTTCTAAAGTTTGTAAATAGAAAGCGAGGTCCCCTGAATATACTTATTAGGTTATTCAAATGTTTTCAGCAGCAAACTGTGACATGAAATCAATGAAGTGGAAGCAAAGAGTTATCTGCCCCTAGTCTATGCAACCTCCACTACGACAGAACTAGATAGCTGTAAAACACTGCAATATGTGGTGTAATGCTTTTGTATAGGACAGGGCAGATGTCTGGGAGTTGCCATGGTAATACTACATCAAGAGGGCAGTGACACTATCAGTGCAGCACACTCAAACAGACTCTGCCTTGTTGGAACAGCTGTCTCCATGAGATGAGAGCAGTCAGGAAGGACAGCACTATTGTTGGAGGAGCCAGTATCTGAATGATGGTACGAATACTTGTTGGATGAACATGAAACAGTTGCACATAAATGCAATATTGTGATACATGTGCTAATATATATTTCAAGAAACATATGATTAAAAGTGACTAAAATGCAAAATAACAACAGAAGAAAAACTGTCTAATTATCCCTCAGGAAGCACAATTTCCATGACAACAATTATCTGTAATGTAGCCTCCTGGACAATATTGTCGTAAAAATGACGGTGATAAAACCAGCCAGATGTCCAAGCTCCTCCTCCTCCTCGTTCACTAACCTAGCAGGGTACATGGTAAGCTGGACACATGGCCTCAAATGTCACAAATGGCAGCACTGATCTTGCAGTCTTCTCTCATTGGTACAAGGATGAAATGAGTGGCGAGAAAATGCATAGACTGTGACTACGACAGTAACAAGCAATAAACCAAGAGTTGCCTCCCTTCCTTCTCTCTTTCGTGTATAAAAGCTAAATGAAACAAAGTTTCGCCGCCTCCTCCTCCTCCGATCAACGCTGCAGCATGTCCCCAACAAAGCAAATGTTCAAGTGGCAGACGGACTGCTCAAAGCGCCCCTGAAAGGGGAAGATGGAGTGAGTCGTGTAGCTAGTGAGAACATAGTTTGCTGCCGATGACATCATTGATCGGGGAACGCTCAGATTGCACTTTCCTTGCTCTCCTTGTTCTTCTTCTTGGAGAAGGATGGCATGCGAAACTTCTTCTTCTTTTTCTCCTTCTTGGGAGAAGGCTGTTCCTTGGTTGGGGAGCCCTGCAAAGGATATGCACATTTACAGTCAATACCAGGGATCCAAATAACATTTTGAGCCATTGAGTATGTATTCGCTTATTCACACTGGGCATTCATAGTCTTCTTTATGTATTTAAAATATATTTACTCTCTTGGGTCCAGTCTTATAGGCTCTGTAATAATGTTACTTCCATACGGTTCAGGTAACTCCCAAACAGCTAATTAACTTCTAATGTGTTTGTGAGCTGCAACAAGTTGAGTCACAGCTCTCCTAACCTTTTAACAGTGATACATATCTAAGTTACAATAAGCGAGATTTTGCACATCTGTGCATTATTCACTGCAGTAGAGTGTACGCAAGCTGAGAAAACTACATTGGGCAATGATACACAGTGTTGTTATACTATCGGGTTATCAAATTTCTTCATGTGTATTAGTAAACAAGAAACTCAATATTAACGTGGTTATGGTGATTTAGTTTGTGTATTCTACACAAATACACATCTGATCTGAGCTCTGCAATACTCTACTGGTAATCTTGAGGGGGCAACATTTGTTGGCATTTAGACAACTGCAATAGTGCTGTGAAAGTTCCACACAAAAATGTTCCAATAGTATCATGAAAATATTTTGAGCATCCTAGCTTACTTCAACATGGAGCCATGTCTAACACTTCCACAATTATCTTGGGGAGTTGTTGGATATTTAAGGAGGTACCCTCATTATCATCTGGACCATATGTAACCTTATGAATATGTTCTGACTAAAAGGGAATGGTTAAGTAGGAACAAGGGTGGTGATCATACAAATACTTTTCATTCTTTAATGTCTGTCAAAAATATCATCATACAACCAGGGCCCCGTACCACATAGCAATCATACAGTCATATGTCTTTGATAAAGTATGGGAATTACAATCGTCTTATTTTGAACATGTTCTTAGTTCATAATTTTCAATTTGAAATAGGAAATCATGCCTATGTTAAAGTGTTGCTCTCTCGTTCCATTTGTGAGTATTGTTTTATTAAATTTGGGATATTCAATCTTTATATCAAGTTTTTGTCTGCCCTGGGCTCAAACTTCGATAAAATATTACTCAATTAAAATAGGCAAAATCCATGATTAAGCCGATGTCTTCAGTATTTTACTGATTAGTTTCTACATCTACACAAATATTGACTGTGAACCCTACCTCCTTGCTACTGCGTTCCTCTAGTGTGTCACCTCCGCTGGCACTGTCTGTCGACCTCAGTGTGTCCGACTTGGCAGGGGAGCTTGGTTTCTCACTTTCACCACCATCTTTTAACACAAACATTTTAGTCAGAATAACTTCTCACAAACACAAGTCACGCTGGAAAAGCTATCCTATGAAGACATTATGTTTAAAACTTACTCCCAGGAGAGACTTAGATTTACAGACTTGCTCAAGTGTTGCAGATGAGGATGACAATGATCTTAAATGTACATTAAGCTCTATGGGATTTCAGACCATGCTGGGTATCAAGAAATGCACATACAAGAGTTCAAGTTATATCATTCTGTAAAAGAACATCATAAACAGCAAAGCTAATGAATGCAAAGACAATTAATATAATTCAATGCAGCATTCAGCAGTTCTAAACTAATCAAATATATTTTACGGTGATAGCACAAATAATTTTTTACTTCTCAATCCACTGCAGCACAGAATAAATAATCGAGTTGGGGGTATTGTTGTAAGGAATTATCATCAATTTTAAAGTAGCTACTTTAAAGCAGCATGCAATTAAGAGACTTGGATGGGACAAAACAGTGGGCAACTGCAATATTCTGACCACATCACGACTTGGGACAACTGAAATGGGATTCCCACACTTTGTCTATGGAGAATCATACCAACATCCTCATCATGACGAAACACTTCAACGACGAGCCTACCCCCCGCCCAAACACTATAAGCACAGTCACCTTCTACAATGAGCCTAGGTCACCTGTTCTGTTCTCACTTCTGGGAACGCAAACCACCTGTCTGTTCAGTCAATCAAGGCATGTTCCTATACAGTCGACAAAAAGTAATTTTGTCTAATTTCACATCTATACATAGAAAGGAAAGAGTCATGTTCAGAAGAGAATATGAATCTACAAATATACACCGTCTCACCTCGAGGCTGTTTGTCAGATTTTGATCGCTCCAGATTCTTCTTCTCAAGTTCTCGAATCACTAACAAGGAAAAGACAAAATGCACAGCTAGGACACAAACAAAAGCTTAACAAAGTAGTAGAGCAAGATAAACAAAATCACTAGTAGAAGGGAAGCCAATGTCACACATATTCTCCAAGTTTCTCTGTTGTGCAATGCTGATAAGTGACCATCAACTTTGCAGAACTGAAGATGGGGAGACAGGATAACCATGGCAAATACCATAGGGAGAGGCATATGTGAGGAAAATGTGTATTACGTTGAGTGAGCAGTATTTAAATAATTTACAGCGAAAGGGAAAATATTTTTAAAGTGTTTGCGTAAATAACGTGAATAAAAATATAGGTTATGAAGAGTGAATGCATATTAAACTAACATCAGATCACAAAACAAATATATGAAAATCGCATGTTTGTCATGTTCATCCAAATTTGGAGGCTTCATGTAATTGAGAATGGAAAGTAGACTGAGGTTAATATAAGCATTCCCCAGTTCCAGGTAAGTGCTGTTTAAAATGCCAAGTCATGTGATGTGAAACTCACTCTCAGGACTTCTCATAGGTTGTCGCTCAGACTCCGACCTTTTAACCTGAGTAGTACGTTTTTCATCTGTGAACATGCAAGAATACACGTGCCAAGCATGCAACAACATGCACACTACACACTACCAATGTGACATGCAACAGTGCCCATGTTAGAGGTTTCAACTAAAAGACAGGAGGATGTAACCGACACCAACTTGGTGGATTTCTTCTTTTGAAATATTCTGTTCAGTTTTCATATACTACTAAAAAGAAGTTAAGGAACAACCAGAGCCATGGCAGATTAACGATAGTAACATGAAAGAATCGATTGGTCCTTAACTTCTAACTTCTATTGAGTGGAATACACTTCTCTACAGCCGTTCATTCATTATATTTAAGCGTAGACCAGAGGATCAGTGGAAACTTTACTTCACTAGTCCTCTGAGTCTTGCTAACTGCTTGAACAAAACAAAATTATTTACTATATTTAAATTTTTTGTAAGTTTTTTCAGTTCCAATTTGTAGCAACATTGAAGCTTTGAGAACTGGTTCAGAATGACAGCTCTCAAATGCTACTAGTCTATGAGAACTACCATCATTGCATATTTACCTGTCCTTGGCACAAATTAGTAGACTCAGGCTAGAAGACTAGTGTGAATTTCTAAGGCTGCTCTACATTCCCACTGCTCTGTGCTCATATCTTGCTATATGTACATGTACATTGGACAACATAGCTCAGCAGCCATTTCACAAGCTGAGCAGAAATGTTCATGAAAACATTATTTGAACAGTTTTTCTTAAATAGTGTATATTTCTTTAAATTTTATGCTGGGACTGATATTTTTACAGATATATTATTCCATGCTTCTATCTATAAAGTAAGAGTGAAATATTAACATGGGTTAATACTTATGTCCAGGGCCCTGTTCCATAACACGATCTTAGTGCCAAGATGATCATACCTCCTGTACATTAACATACACTTATGACATCATAGTGCTAAGATTGTTTTGTGGAACGGCACACTGGACATGTTTGGCAGCATTGACACAAGTTGTGATATGTTCCCACATACTTAGTCAGATCACAACCAGTCAATGTATGTCAGCTCTTACAAGAAGCAATGGGAGCTCGAAAACCCCTATGGATTCCCACAGCACTCATTGAGGCCATCTGATGGACCTTATGTTTGTTTTTATTCATTAAAGCTTATTAAAAGGCTACACTTACAGGAAGACGGTGCTGAAGCCTTTACTTGACTAAAGTTTTAATCAGCGAGAAATCAGACATAGCCTTATGTGTTAGATTGCTGCATTACAGATTATAATGATAATATTGTCATGTTAGTACATACAAACTACTTTTTGTGAGTATATGTTTTAGAGAAAATGACCATATACCTAATAAGTAACTTATTATTTATTTACAATTATGTGTTAATGAACACCTGTCTGTTCTAACACAGCATATATTAAACACCCATATATAATTAATTATATGCTCTATGAGTGAGAGTGTTAAAGTTTTACATCGCATCTGTGAGTTCCAAGTACAGGGTTTATGACAAATAGTACAGTTGTCAGTATCAATGTTGCCACGGTACCCGGCCCACAAGTCACATGACACACAGTCTGTCACCTGATTGGCCATGCTGAGGGGGATACAGGTAATCGCCCGCCAGAAGCCCACCTCCAGGTCTCCCCTTTTTGGGTGGAACTGGTGGTACTAGAGTTGATGGATAATATGCATGAATGATCAGTGACTGTTCTTTTAGGCTACGTAAGCAATATTCAAGTCAATCTAAATGTTTCAAGATAGTAGATATAATTTATATGATAATATATTAATTCTTCTGTAACTGTATTGGAAATATTGCTACACAATGGTGGTATTGCGATATGTGTATTGCTGAAGGACATCTTGCAATATACTGGTATACCAGTAACATTGAACTCCCCTAATGACAATACTATCATTAGGTCACACATTGTAACCATCCATTCTTCACTAGTCAGTTCTTTCCACTAATACAGGGTACTGGGGAGCTATTCTGCCTGGAATACTCACTGGGTGTCTGTAAACAACTCTAACAGTCATGCACCTAAACTACATATTTACAGTAAGGTATTAAGACACCTATACCTAATACTTATGACATTTTCAATATAAAAAAATATATGATAACCTACATGTTTCAAAAGTGAGAAATAAGTAGAGTAAAATTACAAAGAGCAAAGCAGAGAAATAGAAGGAAATCATGCACAGACGTCCAACCCAGAGGGGTTGCCATTTACTTTCATAGACATAGTAGACTACAAGTGTTCTACAAGCATTGCTATATCAATGAACATAAATTAGTATCGGAAGACCGTCAGCTCATCGTCTGACAATAAAGTGGATGCTTCACCATGCTGCTGAAATATACTGCTTCAAGTAATAGCCGCCACGGTCAGTCACGGGTGATGTAAGTAAGAGACGGAGAGGGGGAATAAAATGTTCCAACCATAATTGTGAATGGAAGATGGGTAACACAGGGATGATGAAAAGGCTTAATTTTGCTCCATAATTTCTAATAATAAATTGGATTGAAGACCTTGGGAGATTAATATTGATCTCTGAGTATTTGTATATGGTAAGTTAGGTATAGATACAGGATGGTATATTATTGGATCATGAAAAGATGCAAGTGTTCAAAAGTATAAGGGGTCCGTGGTCCTTTAGGTTTGATGCCATATTATTGGACTTTTGGGGCTCCCTGAATTTTTTAATTTTAACATTCGGCCTATTTCATTCACAGGACCTGTCATCCAATCCTGCAGACTTTAGGAAACATTTTATCAAACTTATGACAGCTTGAGACCTCTTGTTTAAGTCCAGGGAAAAAAATATTTTCATTAGTATACCATATACTATATTAATACTCAGAAGAAAAGGTCACTATATTATTTATTAGACAACCATCAAAGACAAGAAATCCTAAGGACTTAAAATATATTGTTTTCCATAGTGATAGGTGGATGGGTTGATGGGTGGATGGGTTGATGGATGGATGGGCTGATGGATGGATGTGTCACAAGGTGCATAAATCATAAATTTGAATTATGGACTTGAACTGAGAAATCGGGGATTGTCTAACCCTGAATGTGATACAACTGAAATGTGGCAGCGTATATTGTCAGAGCATTGTTGAAGCATCCAGCAAGCACAGAAACAGCACCAATCCCTCGAGCAGCAGCTGCGGCGGCTAGATCTCTGTACATACCTGATTCATTGTTGGATGGCAGCGACTCTGGCTGGCCATTCACACTCTCATCAAGGTTAGTTTCCTCAGGCAGTGGCGCAATGCCCGACTCTACATGAAACAACAAGGCTCCGTGCACAGAACAACACACACACTATAGAGTAGAACAGGGTGCACACACCAACACAGTACAGCTTAGTAAGCTTCAATGTTAGAACTGCCAGCTCCTAGTATCAGATACTGCTTGTGTACATCTGCAGTTACTTAGGGTCTTAACTGAGGGTAAAATAGGGCATACTGCTGCTTGCAGCATATCACAGCCATCAATCAGTAGCGACAACTGAATAAATATTGCTTTATGTCACCCTCTGCAACATTATATCTCAGCTATCCATAAAATATAATCAGGACCAAAGAAGCCAGTGTTTGCCCACGATCAATGCTGCTGTGGGACAACCGACATACGATCAGCGAGGTCACTCACTACAACAGTGTGTGGAGTCGAACACCAACCACTGGGCTACCTTTTGGTTCAAGAATTACTGATATGATAGTATATAGCATGTAATATAAGAACTATTTACAAATATGCACCAAAACATGTCAAACACTACCGATTTTGCTCAATCTTAAACATTTTTGATACATTTTAAGGATGTCATAGAATCATACCACAATAAAGATATAAGAAGTTATTGAATAAGTAAGTACCAATTACAATGATCCTTCACCACTAAGCAGGTACGATAGGAGTTATCAACAAACTGACACCAACATCAACATAGTACTCTGTACACTACAAAATCTCTTCTCAAATCATGAAAGTTGGATCAGGAATTACAAATGACCTAAAGGAATGAACATTTCCTGACAACTAGTCTAATGTATGTATAGGTCTTGACATGCAGGAGTTGGATAGAGGAGTTACTATAGAGTACTACAAACAAAACGACCTGTCAAACTGTTTACAAACATTACAGGATACGCTAGAGATTATAAAAGTGTTTCTTTTATTTCTATCCATATCGGTTTCAAAATGAATATAGATTATTCTCTTTAAAAGAATTTATGGAAGCCTACATTTTTACACTGTTTCTTTTGCTATAATTTCACTTGATACTCATAATCTTTTAACCAGCAAATTTATATTTGAATTAAGGAAGATAAAGTTAATACTATTTTGCAATTATGAAATGCTCTCATGAGCTTAAATCCCAAGACACAGGATCCTGTAGGATTTGTGACATGCATAGTTTCTGGTGTGTCGACAGTGGCACACCACAACATCTACAGCTACAGAACAACAGAACACGGGAACACTACACTCTTGGGACAAGGCAAATACTGAACACATATCCCACCTTCTGCAGATGTGGAGTTGAGCTGTTGCATACGCTCTTCTGAGGAGATGAGGCGGCCATCAGGACCTGGACTTAGGTCCTCACCTGCACAGAAACATGGATTACCATCAGTCCCTATGCATGGTGAAAGTTGGAGTGAGTGAGGTATATACAGCTGCCTTAGACCAGAGGACTATTGGAAATGTTAGTTAACAAGTACTTGAATGAGACAAAATTGTTTACCATCTTTACATTTTCTGTCGGTTTTATTCAGTTCTTATTAGAAGCAAAACTGAAGCAGTGGGAACTGGTTCAGAATAATAGCTCTCAAATGCTACTAGTCTTTGAGGACTACCATCATTGGATTCTTACTAATCCTCATCCCAACTCGGGATAGCAGAGTAGAGTGAATTTTGAAGGCTGATACAGTGCTACAGTTGCACCAATGACAGCAAACTATAAATTCATGACACACTACCCATTCTACAACTATTCATTCTTCAAACAGTCTCACAGACTTAGTGGATTTGCTTGGTGCTAAAGATACTTCGGAGGCTTTTGGAAATAAAGTTTAAGTGTATAAATCCTTATAGGCAATTACTATTAGGGCTAGTATATCATAAAAGCCAGGTAAAGATTGAATATATATTTAACCTAGCCCACACAGTAAAAACATTGACCAGGTCCAACGAGTCCACACCTCATTGTTTCTGTAAACTCATCACATTTTATGGAAGATCATTAGAGTTTGGGAGAAAGTAACTTGTCCTTCCTGATTGTCAGAAGTCTCAGACTAGTAGAAGCTAAATGGGGCAATTCCATAAGCAGGTATTTCAGTCATCAAGCTACGCTACCTTCCTGCTTGTTGAGCCCCTTCTGGTATTCCTCCAGCTCCTTCTCTGTCATGTTCTCGAAGGGGTTGGCTGCGTAGTATGACCTGTACACGACAGCATTGTGCTGGTGGTCGCGCTGGATTATGCCCTTAGATGCTGCTCCAACAACGATCACGTGGTCCGAGGCATTGCTTAGGTTCCCATCCTGCTGTGGACAAACAGGAGCAGGAATTTGTACATGAATTCAAATATCCAAACACGTTGAAGTGTAGAGGTACATAAAACATAAATTAACATGACAAAATGGAGTCTTGAAAGTCTTACAAGGCCTCCCATATGCATATGTCAATGTTGTTTTACACAGTAAGTATTATTCCAGCTTCACTTAAGCAACCTGTACAAAACTCACTGGCTGTGCTAGTGGTTGATGGCATGAGCAACAATACAGGCTGTCTGGATACTATTAACACACATAAGTTCTTAAAGCACATATGTTCCATAAATCACTGTGTAAGTTTGTTTTCTTTATGTTTTCTTCACATGTATGTCAATATTTACAAAATTGTTCCCAGTCAATTTGGAATTTAGAAATTAAGAGGGTCCTGAGGTCAATGAGGTTTGCTCTTGTAATATTTGAAAGTAGATACCCCTCAATTTCTAACATTCAGCACTAGGGTTATGACAAAGACCCTTAACTTTCATGCTTAATTTCGAACACTGTCATAGATCAACAACAATTTTTGCACAGCAGAGTGGAGTAATGACTTCTAACTCACTTTCATTTTCTGTGCTTCATCAAATGACATTCCTTCTAAGACTCTGGACTGGGGTCCGGCTGTTACCTTGTCCTCATAGTAGTCTTTTCGGATCTGGAAATGTTATAAAAAGCATATAAAATGTTTGTTTTTTGTTTATGCCACACTCAGCCAGGGTTAGAAACTAACAGTTTTCAGCCACTAGTCCTTATAATGATAACATATAGCAAAACCCTTAAAAAGGGCAAATTTCTACTAGCCCTTATGATACGTTTACCATTGGGCAGTTTGGCAAGGACTATAGGACTAGTGCCAATTTCTAACGCTGTCAGCAATATTCAAGTTATATGACGATGGTCTGTCCCTAATTGAGACTGAACAATTCCAATAATTGACATCGTGAGCATCGAATTGGGACACGATGACATGCATCAACCAAGTCAGCAAGCCTGACCACCCGATCCCATGAGTCACTTCTTCTGACAAGCATGGGTGGCTAAGAACAATTCGATCCCAGATCTTCATGGGGCAGTTGAAAGTTGAAAGTGTTTTGTTTTAATCAACAGGGTCATAACATCTCCAACTGCCTGCACAGCAGTCGTCAAATCAACGTCATGTTTACATACCTGTTTCTGTTTTAGTTTAAATTCTTTTGGGTTTTCTCCCTGTGGTGCAAACTGGTTTGGGCCGTCCACCTTGATAGGGGTGCTGGTTTTGGAGGGCGAATCTGTCCCATCTGGAACCCACTGAAACACAATGACAAAGGTTTTGCATCATATGTAGCTGTTTGTTGCTTAAAGCTGCACACAGTAATGACAGCTATATGATGGCATCTTACAAATAATCGACAAACCAGTGATTGATATTATGACAATATATAGACAAGGCTGACAATGTTGATCTCACAATATATTTCTATGACATATACACAGGAAAACACACTTATTAATGATAAAGCCAAAAACAGGTCATGTGGCTACACTGATTTTCAACAGTTATTGCCACAATAATCTTTCCAAAAACGTTTAGAACCCAACAGTTATAGTCCTATAATGGGCAACAATCTACGCTGTCGGGTTAGATGACATGCAAACAACTAATTTACCAAGTCTGACCACCTGATCCATTAGACTATTCTAACCTGGAATCACAAGGGTTTTTGGTTTGAATCACCCATTTTCCCAACCGATCTTTGCGATTATAGACATCTAAGAGCAACAGCAAGTCAGTTTCACATACCTTGGTGTATTTCTTGGGGTTAGTTGTACCAATCTCTTCCAGCTCTTGTCTCTTGTATGTGTTGGGGGACGTGAGCCAGCCAGCCTTATAGGCCTGTTTCTGTCTCTCCAAGGCAGACTTCAAGGGAGACCTGACCAACAAAAAGAGAAACACAATTAGCCAATGCATGTAAACAACACAGTGAAGCCACCTCCACATACCGATGATGGCACCTAAAGGTCCGATTGCAAGGACTTATCTAGACCTGCACAGATGGCAATATTCAGCCCTAAGTCTACTGCAATTGGAAAACCCAATTTGAATAACAAAGATCTCCCAGTTTCACTTATTTTACAAAAATAATAGCATTAAAAAAATCCAATCTTGAACAACTGCTATTAGTATCTGATGTTGGCACTCGGGTTGTCTGAAACTATGGACAACTCCATACACTTACTGGGGTCGCAGGGATTTAACCAGGTTTGACTGCACTACATGGAGTATGCTCTCTGCGCTACTAATGAATATCCATTGACCCTTCTTGGTGAATAGGATACACGTGAAAACATACATTTAGAAAATCCAAGAACATAGTTTTTGTTTTAGTCCATTGGTCATCTTATACTGATGACTCCTTAACATGTTCACAAGGAATGCATCTATGAACTAACAGATTTGCTCAGTTCTGACATACGATTATTAACACATACAATCAACTGCAGAAAAGTCCATAGCCATTTCATTTTTAACCAATTTACTTCAAAATATACCTATGAAAATTAACAAGAGTCATCAGAAAGATGACATATCCCCCCGGCAGCTGTCTGTAAAGTAACCACTAGTAAATGTGCAATTCTGTATGTAATGAGTCAACAGTTGAATGTTCTTTTAGAAGCATACATTGTTTACCCACTGAATGGTTTTCGAATTCTGGCCCGGAAACGAACCCGTTCCCCAATGGAGTCTAGGTCCAACTACTTTCCATAAAAATTGTAAAAAATAAAAATTCGTAAAAAAATAAATATCAAAAGGCATCACTTCAGTATGTGCCTGATAGCTTAGCCAAGTTTCGATCAAATACACTGAAAGGTTTTCAAATTCTGCCCCGGAAACAAACCCCATCCCCAATTGAGTCTATGTCCAACTTCATTCCATATAAATTTAAAAAAATAAAAATTAGAAAAATCCCAAAGTATCAAAAGGCACCACTTCAGTATGTGCCTGATAGCTTTGACAAGTTTCGATCAAATACACTGAATAGTTTTCAAATTCTGCCCCGGAAACGAACCCCATCCCCAATTGAGTCTATGTCCAACTTCATTCCATAAAAATTGAAAAAAAAAAAATAATTAGAAAAATCCCAAAATATCAAAAGGCACCACTTCAGTATGTGCCTGATAGATTTGCCAAGTTTCGATCAAATACACTGAATGGTTTTCAAATTCTGCCCCGGAAACGAACCCCATCCCCAATTGAGTCTTTGTCCAACTTCATTCCATACAAATTAAAAAAAATAAAAATTAGAAAAATCCCAAAATATCAAAAGGCACCACTTCAGTATGTGCCTGATAGATTTGCCAAGTTTCAATCAAATACACTGAATGGTTTTCGAATTCTGCCCCGGAAAAGGAAATGATTACGGACAGACAGACGGACGGACAGACAGACTGGCTGGCTAATCGCTATATCCCCCCGCATTATATGCCGGGGGGATAAAAATAATAATGTTATATCACAGAAATACAAGGACTGCTATATTACCTGTTAAAACATTTTTTTACACATGAACATTAGGGAAACCATTAATGTAATATTTATATGACAGATTCAACTGTTACCATGGCTACCTATCCACAAACAATCATCAATACAATCACTGAATCAATATTACTGATTGATTATTCACGTCAAAAGGAGATAGAAATCACTGGTCACTAGAGGTATTATAAAGTGAGTGTTAGACAGGGCATGCATGTATTGAGGTATATCATCACTACTGCATCTGCCGAATCGAGTGAATCTGGTGAAATCAGTCCTGCTACCTTGGTTACAAATATCTCTAGCAAAGTGACCACACCAGCCATATTTCAACATGCAGTTACAGAACACAAGTAAATCAAAGATAGGCTGTGAACATCTACTGTTAGTAATACTGGGAGATGAAAGCTTGGTGACAAGAACTCAAGGAACCAGCTCAATAATCAATGCAAAATAAAATTGGAGTTATAAACAAGACAAGACCAAAAGAAGCTGAAACTAAGTTCTCTGGCACTGTTTTTAACAAACAAAAATCTTAAATCGTGCTTGTGATTATTTGTCCAGTGTTTGTAACTAGAGATGAATATTAAGGGGTCCTTGTAGCGCTAATGTTAAATACTTATCTTAGAGTGTCTGTTTGACACCACAGCAAGAAACCTCAAGGAAACCAAACCCCACTTATTTTCTAATACTGTCTATTCTATACTGTTAATATTTTCTGATAAAATAAGTAAAGTGCCTCTGAAACTTGTTCAAGTTCTGGTCTAATAAACAACAGGATAGAAATCAATATCCCACAATTTTATTTCTGAATATCTAAGATAACATATGAGCAAGTCTTGGGTAACTGCACCAAACCTTCCAAATACCATAAGTTTAATAGGCTCAAGCAAAAAGGGTTTTACATTCTAAAGATGCTTCAATCTGCAATCAGAAACATGTTAGTAATGTTGTTAATTACAGCTGAGTTGTCAAAACTGAGCAAATCATTCCACAATCATCAGTACATGTAATTCTACAGAGGTGTATGTAAGACTACAGCAGAAGCTACTCATACAATGGTCTCAAGCAAACACACAAGTCAAACATACAGACTCTATGACAGTCTGGCTTGTAATGCAACATGTCAGCATTTTAATCCAATTTTCTCGAAAATAATGCACACAAGAATTATTTCTTCATGTCCCATGTATGAGGTAGGATCTGAATGTCTTAATTATGTATGTAGAACATGAAGAGCAGAGGTTCTTCATGTGCTCAGCTTAAGATAGCTGTAAGACATACATTCATATTTCGCAATATGAATGATTCTGAAATTACAAAATCTGTTGATTACGATCCCCTTGTTATAACCCAATTACGATTGCTGCCATTTTGTTATAGAGAAAGTCAAATGCCAACCCATTCCATTCCTAGTCAGACAACAAGGTAAAAGATCTGGGGTCACGATTTCAAAAATTTACTATGTGTCAATAGTAATAACATGTCACACTCAGTGCCATGCTTGCGATGTGTATAAAGAAGTGCTTTACTCACGCATATTTTGAATGTTCGATGTCGCCATCAAACACATATGTGAAGGAGCTGGAGGCTGGGGGAACCTCCACATCACTGTTGGACCTCTCCTTCTTCTCCTGCTTCAGGATAGGCATCTTGTAAACATGGCCCGTGCGGTACCCCTGGAACAAGCAAAGGGTATCAAATATTAAGGGTGGGTCTTTGCTATGGTACTGTAGAACAGTGATCCACAAACCTGCCTGTTTTTAACATTAGGGTTAAGTCAAGGAGCTATGATTTCTATCCTTATTTTATGTGATGTGGAAAGGACCTCTGATGTCTATCCATAATCATGATGAAGAGGATCATATACTACAAATGAAGTTTGCATGCATGACAGATTAACTATAGCAACATGAAAGAATCAGCAAAGAATAACAGAATAACTATAGTACTTTGAAAGAAACATGTGTTCTTTAACTTCTTTAGAGAATATTATTCTTGAAATTTTGACATTTTTGTTCCTTATCATTGTAGGCCATGAACATGACATCATGAGTGAGTGAGTGAGTGCTTTACATTCCTTTCAGCACTGCAGTAATTCCAGGGTGGGGGAAACCAGGATTTGAACACCATCTTCACCATGATGAGCAAACACTGTCCCTCTGCCCCACGTAGGGATAAAGAAACAACTCTTTCTCTACAAACAGATTAAGGATGAAGAAACACTTACTGCATTATCTAACTGCCTCATGAGGGCCTCAAACTCCAACTCTCCTGTCTTCCATCTGCGTCCAGTGATGTCCACCCCACCTCCACCCATGCTAGCCACCCTGAATGTCTCTTGCCGTGTCTCGTCATCGACCAGGATCAGGTTGTCTAAACCTGCTGGTACTGCTCTCATCTGTACACAATAGGTCCAGGTTAGTTACACAAATAGCAGGCAAAATATATCTTTGAAACATTTGAAATATAATTTATACTTATCCTGACTCATACTTATCGCTCGGCATATGAGTGAGGATAAGCAAAAATGTTAAGGTAAAATATGCATTTAATAGCAATATTAAAGACAGCTGTGATATTGGTAACTTCAAATATAAGGGGCAATTAGAATAAATTCAATCTATTCTAAAGTTAATGTTCTCGATATATGACACTAGCCATTGATAAAATGTGCTCAGGAATTAGAATTGATGACAACTAACATTTGTGCTGAAGGATTTGTGCAATAGGACACAATATCAATTTTTTCAAAATATCCAACCCAGTTACATATCTTCATTAGTTAAAAATGAGTCACAGAAGATGACAAATAGCAAAAGGCACCACTTCAGCCCTTGATCAATACATGTACCAAGTTTGGTTGAAAAATCTTTCACAGTTATCAAGTTATGTTTCGGAAACAAAATATGGATGGACAGAAGGGGATACAAACAAAACTTACTTGGGTATCACAGGCAGCGACCAAATTGAATGCGTAATGATACGCCTCCTCCATAGTTTCCCCACAGGCAACCATTCCATGGTTCCGTAACAGCATCACCTGAAACAGCCACGCAGGTGTTAAAGAGATAACTACTTATTCTATCAATCAGGGAAGGTGGCCACATTGAAAAGGGAAACATTTGTCGCCTACGGAAATAGTCACATTAAGAGCAAACTCAGTTCTGACCCCACCCATATCAATCATTCCATCCCTATGACCTGGTCTTAATTTATTCCCTTCCTCGTACATACAACATATATTTGTCTGTGTCTCCAATTGCTAAGCATATGAAACCAGAGATTGATCTAGGATTGAAAACTAAGCGCCCTTGGCAGGCAAATTGGGACAAAAAAGTTAGTTCCATATTGTTATTTTTAAAAGTTCCTATTTTTCTTAATTTAAGAGATATTGTATCCAAAGCAATAATGTGAAATTAACCCACTTCACTTTATTGGTCCTGTTATCAGGGAATACAGGTCACCCTGACCAAGCCATCCCATTAGTCATAACAACTATAACATCAACTGTGCATAGTTTTATTCCCACTTGGAAATTCTTACTGACATTTGGCCTCCGAACAGATAATAAAGTCAATATTGGCACATCAAATGGATATATGATCCTGGAGGATGACCAACCTTATTTGTGGGCCCGAGATTGCGAGCAAGTTTGTCTCGCTCTTCTTGGTCTACCAGTATTCCAGTGTAGTCGTGAGTACTGATGCTCCCACAAATAAGGGACTCCTGTGACAGGGGAAGTAATCCAGACTGCATTGCAGATACCTTGAAAACAAGTCATAACAATGAGGGATATGATAGTTCTGTATTGATATACAAAAATGTCAAGAAATGTCCATGTGACAATGAAAGACTAGGAACTTATTGCAGACTTTAACATCAGTGGCATAATACCTAACAATGGCCCTTTAATTATAGCATGATCACAAACATAATCCCCAAAAAATTAAAATTAACTAAGGATAGCAAAAGGGGAACCACGACAGGATTCTAATAACAGAAAAGGCAATATATCTCTTCTTGCAAAGTTCCCAACTTTCCCAAATTACAAATAGTATCTTCTGGTCAGGAAACCAAAACATGATACAAAATTTTGAGAATGTTTAGAGTGAAAAGGTGGCATTTGAAGCCCACTCCATCCCCCTCGTGTTCGTAGCAGATGGTATAATGGCCCTCTTTTTACCATTGTCTATGATAATTTATGTGACTTTTGGTCTCTGTATATTGACAAATTATTTAACTTAGGAAAAAATCATATTTTCATATTTTAGTTGCAAACCTGTAACAAATGTAAAACATAGCTGTAATAATGCCAGATAATTATAACATCATATGACCATAGGATTGTACCTTTGGTCCACAAATAATCTGCCACAGAGCAGACACCTGTCACAGACCTATATGACTTTTATCACGCATATAAAATGCAGCTTCATGTAAAACTGATTACTTACTGCAACAACATTGGGTGTGTGAAGATGAATGATGCACTTGATGTCCGGGCGGGCCTGGTGGATGGCCGAGTGTAGAACGAAGCCAGCTTTGTTGACACCGAAGGTCGTGGATCCTGGGTCTACGAGATTACCTTTCATGTCTACCTTGACGAGTGTTGAGGCCGTCACCTCAGGGTACAGCAAACCAAATGGGTTGAGCAGGAAATGCTCCGATTCCTGACTTACACGCACCTGCGCAGAGAAATGCGAGAGTTAAGAACGGAACAAATCTGTGATTCCAGCGCCAGTGTAGATTTACATTTAACATGTAGAGTATATACGGTTGATCCCCGTCAATTAACACACATCTCACTGAGTGATCTTACATTATATAAAGTCAATTTACAACTTGTGAACCTAAGAGCATTTGTGTGGATCCGCTAATCAAGCATGCTAATCAGGCTTTTGTCAGAATCAAGTTCATAACCAGTGGATAATGAACAAGGGGCACCTTTGCACAGTGGCTAAGGGTTCTCAGCCACCAGCGCAACAAAATCAAACAGAGGTCTTCAGCATGACGAGCAAATATACCCAACAACCTTGTTCATGGTACATATCGTTAGGCATTTTATTGTATATCAAATTATCAATTATTTTTCAATATTGAAACTAATTTATGAATATTGATACAAAATACATATTTCACTGCCACATAAATGTTAACATGTGTTAAGATTACCATGGTTAAGATGGAGAATAAGAAAGCAGAAAATACAATATATATTAAATATTTAATGGAACAGTTGATTAATTGCAAGTCTGAAAATGTTTATCAATACAAATACAGAAATAGTTACTTACTAATTTTTAATATCGATGTATCGTGATATAATGATGTTGAACGTTTCAATCAATGACACCCCTACATATTGTCCACTCGTGAAGATCCGGGTTAGAATGGGTCTTCATTGGAGCCAACTAATGGGATCAGGTGGTCAGGCTCGCTGACTTGGTTGATGCATGTCATTGTATCCCAATTGTGTGGATCGATGCCCTTGATATTAATCACTGGTTTGTCTGGTCCCGACTGATTATGTACACAGTCTTTCATATAGCTTGAATATTGCTGAGTGCTGCGTTAAGCAACAAAAACCATATCATCCTCTATCTAATCAGTGTACAAAGTGTAAAACAACTGTGCACAGCGAATACAGGAATACATACGCTAATGTGGTTGTAGATTCCATGTGTCCAGCCATTCATATCAACGAGTCTGTATAAAGATGCCAGCTTACATCGCAGGACCTTCTCCCCCTTACTGTAGTTCAGTGAATCCACCCCTCGGATATCATTTACTGGAATGACTGGTGAGGCTGCAACACAATACAAGGGATTAATAAGAGCAGAAATACCACAGCTTTGCAATAGTGAATCTCTTTCAAAGCATGGGAGTTACAAAAGGCTTAGCGCCAATATCAGAAATCTATGTTAAAGTAAGGGAGTTACAATCGCCTTAGCATTGAGATCACTTTGTGGAACAGGCCCAAGTATAACCCACAGGCATGACATGGTGTTGACATACCAAGGATCAAACTCCTGATTCTGGGTTACAACCCACAACAAACAGGCCATGGCAACACCAAGAGACCCAACTCTACACAGCCTTAGATTAATGGTCCAATTATCAGTTCAGTAGCATGGTACACTATATTATCGCAATAGTTAATTTATAATGGATAGTAATGGCGCACGCTTACTAACCTATTAAGTATGTCTTACACAAAATATTTCTTGATCTTTCTTCAACTGTTCTGACACATCAATTAGGATTGATCGATGTTGATTTGATTTTCTTTACTGAGTTCGGAAAACAACGTACCTGCGAGCAACTCTATATTATATCTAGTTTATCACTAGTTTGTGGTGTGATCCGTGTGGATTATATGGTTTACATCACCTCCTGTTTTGGATTATGCATAACCAGTGTATGCATACGACATAACTGGATCAAGGGACATCGTCCAAACAAATGGGTTCTTTTCTAACCAATTTCAAATGGAGGTAGGGGTAATTCCACTTCAAAAACACTCCAGAAACTATTATAAAAAAAGTTAACGTGTACATTTACGAGTAGCTGTGACATACTGCAATGAGTACTGTATTCGATCAAGCGATGAAATATCATGCTTAGACATAAGTAAACAGTGGACAGGGGTATATTTTATGAGATTTACCGATACCGGGATAAGATAGAGTCCGTAAGAATGTATAGTCATGCAGTGTTTGAATCAAAGCAGGGGATCTTGTAATGTTCTGCAACATTTTACTAAGGGATCCCCTTGGGCTCAGGAAAAGGGCTCATGAAGTTGATCTTTTGTTTTGATGACTGTAGTACTTGGTTGTGTTACATACCCCCTTTGGCCATGGATCCTAAGTTAGATCGCGTGTGAGGGAGGAGAAGGTCGGAGATCTGTTGCAGGGCAATGAGCGATGCAGGATGCGACCCTGAGGCAAGCTGCTCCTCCACAATCTGCTCCAGCTCCTCCCGAAACGCCTGGCTGTTGAGGATAACGGAGACTCGGCTGCGGTTCTCCATCTGCTTCACGTCCTCCTTCACCTCTGCCGGCCGCCGCATCTGTCGCTGATACTCCGGGTCCTCCGGATCTGCAACAACAAGTGTATACATGTATAAGACTAATAAGTTTGTTTAAATGCAGCTTTGAACAGACTTCTAGTCATATTACTGTCTGTATGTGGACCCAGTGCCTTCAGTGATAGGTTGTGGGAAGTGGGTCCAGTGGACTCCCAATAATGAATTTTAAGAGTCCTTGCAGGTCATATGAAGGTAATGAAATAGTGAAGTGTACTGCGCATATAGATAATTACTTTAGAGCCTGGAATGAATCAATGATCATGTAGACAGCATGGACAAAGGTCAAGAATGATGGATAAAATAAGACAGCAATAACTGGCCTTGATGCACTGTAGGTACAATGAATATTATTGTACATCCCTAAGGATGCAGTATATTCTTTTTCTGCGCCCATTATCTACATTTGTGAGGATGTTAACCACAGAGGTGATACCTTCAAACTTGGGTGTGTTGTTAAGAGGCTAAAGATCATAGTTGGAGAAATTTGGGATTTGAACCACCCGCGTCAATGTATGTATTACTATAAAGAAGTGAGGTAGTAAGTGAAGAGTGTTTACACACACAGAAGTGCTGTTTTAGCAAAGGTTTGTTTCTTGTTTAGCGCCGAAATCAGCAATAATCAAGTTACATGACGGCAGCCTGTAAATAATAGTGAGTGGAACAGACATCCTGTGATTGATATTGTGAGCAACGATCCATGCCAACAGAGCAAAAGAACGCGCTATCAACCTAGTAACAGGGGCTGACCACTGATCCATTTGGTCACCTCTTACAACCAGCATAAATTGCAGGGGACCAATTCTTACCCCGAATCTCCATGGGGTTCAGCAAAGTAATAACACAAATATTAGCAGAATAGAATAATTGATCTAACTTTCTCACAAACTCATGTGAATAATCAGATATAGGCTATTTAGGAAAACTAAGAATACTCTCCTCGCCAAAATGATACATTCATCATTTTGCAGATTGATTTGATTGAGGGCCTAACATTCTCTATCACTAAAAGTGCTGAAGACTTCTATCACAGTGTTGCTGTGATGTGATGAACAATGTAAATCGTGGATCAAACACAAATTATATCTGGACCAACTATTGACAGATAGGAATGATAGGTATCTTATCCAAATTCAATTAGATCATTTGTATAATTTAGAAAATAATCCGATCCCTTATTATGAGAGCAAATGTCCATCTAGGAGCTAATCTCCCACAAGTGACTAGTCAGGCCTGAGTAGTGGTGGTGTTGACTTGCTCGATGCCTGGCAGTAGTAGTACACGTTAAGTAAACACACCACTGGTAACAGTCATACAACACACGGGTCTGGCGCACATGTGTCACGAGACACAGCATGTAGTACAAATAGATGCCAGTTGGCTTATTATAATGTAGGAGTGCATCCTTTTACAAAATGTTCAGTTTCCTTCGATCAGGATTTACAATAACATCCGTCATGAGAATGTGTCACTTAAGAAAATTCTGGATACAATCTACCATTCCAATACCCTTGAAAATGTGGATAACATTAAGCTACCTAATGACCCAATGTGTAAATGACCCAATGATGACATTCTATAAGGTCATGATAACCTTGCTTTTATAAAGGTAAATACTGCTTGCAAACAAACTTATGAATGAAATAGTTATTTGCAATAAGGAATGAAGGACAAACAAGTTAGGCCTTGAGAAGGTGCTCTGATAGAGCCGACCTTCTGCTATAGTGTCTGACTGTTAAAACAGTGACTTCATTGTTAAAAAGTGCATCTTGTATCCTTGCTATCTCGTAGCCATGTTGTTGTTTACCCTTGTGGGAAGCAGCCTTCCAGACAGTTGGTTCTTCTACAAGATCACATCCAAACACTCATTCAAAAAACCAGGCACTTTTGAGGATATCATATGACGTACTTGTGTTTTTCCTCACGCCCTCATGTATATTAAATCTAAATATACCACTGTTTACTGCAATTCATTATGGCTACAAGCACCGTAAATCTTGTCAAGAACACTTAGTGTCGGGGTGCCTATGCTTGAGAGTTTCCATTAAGTCTGAAGAAAAAACAACCATACTACAAAGATATGACATCAACATTAATTGCTTCAATGTTCTAAAACAAGCAACAACCTGAGGTGACAAAGCAACGACTAATTCACTCATGACCATTGTATGCCTTCAAGTGTATAAAGCAGGAATATTGCTCAGGGCGTCGATTAACAACCTTCAAGAGTTGCCTCCCCTTTAACCTGCACTCAACAGTTAAGCCAGTGTATTGTAACATATCCCTTAATAATTATTACTTCACAAAACCTAGAAAGATAATGAGTCAACTGAATGACAGACGCTTGAATTGTGTATGCAGGATTTTGAAGTTTGATTCACAAATTATTCAACATACAACATGTACAACTTTATGGATAACAACTTCTGGTTTATTGCACATAGCGGTGTCTCGATGTAGGTTCTCACACCGTCCTTCCACCATTACACCTCTTGAAACAGTGTAAGAATCTACATCGAAAGGTCGCTATATGCAATAAACCAGGAGTTGTCACCCATAAAGTTGTGCGTTTTCTTACCTACTCACTAACTTCTAGCATGCCAATCAAACACTCAAGACAGAAGCTGTTTGGTTGTCATGGTTACACTTAACATGAGCCCGATTCATCTCCCATGTGTGCAAGGTAACACAACCGCAATGGATTTTTGTCCTCGTAATTATCCTCCTATTGATTTGCTGATTCAAGGTCTGTACTGATGTCACTGGTGTACGCATTGGAAGTGACTAATGAAGAAACAAAAACGGATTGTCTTTGGTATTTCCATAAATCTGGTAGATACAGCAGAGCTTCAGGTTAATGGGACCACTTGACACATTACCTAGAGGAAATGATGGGCCAGTATCAGAAAGTAAGGGCTAAAGGGGCCCATATTACTCAGTAATTACTCAGGGTAATTTGACTTGGGGCCCCCTGACAATCTGAAGCATAGTGAAGGATTCCAATGACAAACATTACTTTTTATTCAGCTGTGAATACTAGAAGAATATCATGTACAGTTGCACCAGACTCATGAGTGAGTGACATTGGTTTGGACAGAAATATCACAGCAAGGGACACCAAAACAGGCATGTGGGGAATCAAACCCGGGCCTACAGCGTGACAAGCAAATGCTTTAACCCCTGGGCTACCACATGGCCTAGCAATGCCTAGCAATGCCACAAAGAGCTTTCCATGTGTGATATTAGAAACAGTAAACAAAGTAACTCAAATTTACAAGTCTCAATTCAGTCTTACAGAAAAACCCTTCATAGCAATTTGGTCATGTTACTTGTACAGGAAATACATTATTAAGATACATTTAGGACAGTTCCAAATATTACCTACCTTTTAAGAATGCATGACTTCACACCAACACAAGATAATTTGGGGCATTAAATACTGCTGACTACTAATGTCTATATCTCCTTGAGGGGTCATAAAAATGCTGATTACCCTTTGTGAAATTTGGAACAAATCGCATACTGAGGTACTCTGGCTGGCAAAGACACATTCTTTCACGAATTCCTGTCATGAAAGCTATTATTACACCAAGTATTTCCAGATCAATCTATCACGTCTATGTTAAGTAGATTTACAGATACCCCTTAGCCATATATCAACAATGAGATTTTGACCTTGATCACTTCACGAAATCACCCTCAATCATGAGGAACAACATTAAGGAAATCGTTTCCATGCCCAGTTTACTAGAAAGACTGCCAAACTTCAATCAAGATGTCTTAATCTCGTAGCACTCTTGTTCAAGCCAGAGGCAAAGCAGGAGATAATGTGTTGTTGGTAGGTATTGGAGTAGGGCCTCCACAATGACTGACACTTAGTCACAATAATTACATCCCCTTATGCCCTGCTGCCTTGACTCCAGGGGAAGTAGGAACTGCTCCTGATGCTGTGTACCTCTCTCAACACTTCCTACTTCAACTTACCAAAGAAATGCATGGAGCTCTGCCAAGTGGGACTGGGTTTGTTGCCCATGAGAAAACACTGATATACATCAGCAGAAAAATGAAACTAGCTGTTAAAGTAACATTCTTACATTCCCACATAATCTTTAAAACATTTTACCTTTTGAAGCAAGCACTCTAGTACTGTGTTTTCAGGCTCACACTTACCGGTTATCTTTAAGAATTCCAAACTTCCACCTTCTAGATTAAACAGCAATTAAAGTAGTTTCTCGCATGTATGCAATCTGCCTGACTTAAACCTTCTGCCCAAATCCTATTTCCATAAATGCAACTCATCTAAATGATTCATAGATATCCAAAACCTTGTTACCACATTTGCCATATGAAGCACCCTGCCCTAATAAGCACCCCTACAAAGGCTGAAATGTTACATGACAGTCCATACCTTTGTGTACATAACAGATTTAAAAAAAAAGAAAACAGCAGCACAGAAGGGCTATGTCATTGCCTTGTAGCTATTATCGAAAAAGTCATAGCTTCATCAAAGTTTGAACTAAGATTGTTCACTACCACTCAATCTCTGAAAACAATTTAACTCATAGTGTATGGTTTTTCTAAGCGCCCAGTGCACTTACTACAGCAAATACAGAAATCTGGTGTAAGATGATTAATGGAGAAGACAATTCAATGATTTAATAATACTCCTTGTTTTGTGTGTCAAGAAATCTGTTTGGGCTTGGGGAGAAGTTAGTAATTTGGAGTTTATTGTTGCTCATAGGTGAATGTTAATATTGTGTGTCAGATGCTCAATGTAAATCATTTCCATTAGAGCAGGCTAAAAAGATTGACAATTGGAGTTATAGTTGATGGGAAGAATGATTATCGATATAAAAATTGTGTCATCGATAATAACTTCCATAAACTATTGTGATGAAATAAAGTTTAGATTTATCTAAACTGAATTGTTATTGTAATCATGTTAATTGCCAAGACGGAAGGCAAATGTTTTTGTTATATCTCAAATGTCCACAATGTGATACATGCATAAATGTGTCACCAGTGGCATGAAATCACTTTCATGCATATTTGCTTAAAGTTACCTCTCCAATATTCATTCATAATTGTTCGGTATTTATAGTTAAGCAGTTATCAATCTCTATGATCTGTATCAACAGCAAGTGCTAGTTTCGATAATCGAGTCCTACAATGGTATATACCCATGACCACAATTCATTTCAGAGGAACTGAGGCAGTAAGCATATTGTGGCAGAAACCGATTTGTCTGCAAATCACAACTTTTCAGTTGTGGTATACATGGTCATGTTGAACCCTGACCTGTCTGGTATAAGGGAATACTGACCTATTGTGTCTATGTACTTCCCCGTGGGGCTGGTTGGCCCGTTAACCTGGGCACTTCCGTCGCTCATCCCGTGTTACTGGCCAGCCACGCCCTGCAAAACAAAACAAACATTTAGTCAAATAATCATTCTCAACAACAGATTTGAACATAACCATTTAAGTTAAAGTATGTTATCATTTAAAATGTTTTCCTGACATAATAAATAGAGTTTATTGTATTAGTATATGTATGAGTGCAACAATTATTTAATTTCATGAATCCATTGATCAAGATATCAAAACCTATTTCAGTCAAATTACATACTGTTCAAGCATTAACAGTGATTAAACCAAATGAATCAGAATAAAATCTTACTGTGTATGTAGTCTAGTAAATATAGCTATTCCCCAAACAAGCTAAAACAATCATCTGCCTTATCTTACATATACTGCGTTGTACCAAAAGATATAAAAGGGTGCTCTTGTGGCTACTCTGCCTGACATTCAGCATTTAGGGGATAAAACAGGGACTGGTTTGGAGTCAGTATACTGTGTCTGAGAGGGCTATCTATGTGAAACGATAGGTATCTCAGTGGGCTAGCACTAAAACAGTGGCATTAGTCCGGACTAGTGCAAGAGGCCACACCACGCACACACATCGCAATAATCATGAACACAACGTTAAACCCATTCCACCTCACCTTAAAGTGATCAATCTTGCAAAAAAGTCAGTGAGTCATGATTTCTTGCTCCACTGCCCTATGGCAACCACTTGAGCCTAAGACGCATCACTACTGACACAAGCAGACACGGAGGACCATGGAGCATGCAAGACAGATCAATGATGCTACATTAGGAAACCTGACATAACTTTAAAGGAAGGGCTGTGACTATCCATTTAGTCATTAATGTAATGAGTGAGTCACAGCTATTATGTACTGCTATGGTCTAATTGATGTAATTGAACCAGCCTACGCCATGTTACCTGCTCAACATGGTGTCTTAGACAAGCTGTATTGATGTAACAGTGACATGGCAAGTGATAGGACAGCCTGACCTTGCAGTGCCCCAGACGGTAGCCAATTCCTTATCAAGATACAAATAATTCTCCATCTTGGCCTGGTCTTAACATTGTAATCATGTCAACCAGCTCAGCCAAAGCACGCTTCTAATTTGGTTTGCAAGTTCAAAATGGTCTCTTTCATAGGAACAAATGAATTAAAAGTCAAAACAATGATTCAGACTTATATAATCAGCTATTTCCTTGTACAAGAATGTTCCACAACAAACCTACACTAATCTGATATTCCCCATTGTCAACGTTCAATGCCAGAGAAGTATCAGACTGCACATGGTACTACAATACAAGAGACTCTGTAATCTAATAAACAATGCTAAATTCCGACAAATTGCAGCCTTTGAAAATAGAGCAGGGAATCCCAGGAATGTGGTCTGTATATCTACGGCTGTCAGTGACATGTGTTCCAGCCCCGCCCACATCCCACACTTCACAGCACCGGCTTTCCCATCTTCGTCCTGTGGGCTATCTCACAATCATCATCTGCTGAACGGGGCACCAGATCTAGTTCCCCCATGTGAACCTTCAATTATCCCCTGTAGCCATGCTGAATGATCGTACAGCTTGAACTTGTCTCTCCTCCCTCATTCAACTATTCTTCCCCCACCAAATCGAGCCCTTCAATTCAACACAATTTACCAATATCCATGGCTTCATATTCCAATGTGTACATACTTTACATACAATTGATTAATACGTGTTAGCAAGGTATATTCATATAATCATACAACCATAGTCTTCGATCTGTCAAAAATCCGCAAAACTGTGACAGACCAATATCACTTAGACCAGAGTGTGATAAGAAAACAGCCACTTTTCTCAGCACTCGCTAACTAATGATGACATAAAAGCAAACTATATTTTCCTGAAGGAAACTTTTAACATGGGTCAGATTGCTCTGGGCGAGAAAAGTTGTGGCTTCTCACCCAATTATCTTCAATAACCCATCTCCCTTGTGGGCTGAAATAGATGGGTCCGCCCTTTATAATCTGTCTTCCATCCAATATCACATTCAATAGCAACAATATGATGAGGAGAATCAGACTTCACCAACGTCACTCCCAGCCTTCAAGGTCGCTGTATAGATAACACTGACACCAACACATATTTGCTAAAATCCCATAAAGCATCTGACAGTACAACGTGACACAGGATTATTTTCAACACCATAATCTTGCAAAATACTACATATTCAAGGCCACTTTACAGCATAGCTGTGCCCCTCTTCCCTGGCTGAAGCTCAGCCATGACATAGATAATACCGACTTAACCTAGGTAGTCAACACAGCCTTGGGTTGTTACCACACACTGCTACTTCACAAGTACTGTCTACTTGTCACAACAGCGTGTGTCCAGCTGTCAACAAAACAACAGGTCAAACAAATAAAGCCTTCAGTCACATGGCCAGGGATTTACTCACTGGCTTGTATCAGTGACTGACAATCTCATATTTTAATCACTGAATTTGTCATTTGATAGCTCAAGGAACATAATCTCATATATTATCCTCATATTTCAATCAAGATCACAGAAAATTGATTCTTGTCAATTCACATCCTATTCATCACTGGCCTGCAACACCTATCATCACTGAGGTATTTGCCACCTCGTCAACTAGTTCAGAAATAGTTATAGCTGAGAAGTAACCTGCACCTGTGGGAAAGGATTTAAATATGGGCTGTTACATTCTTAGTCTTTAACATGTGCTACAACTCTCTGGCACTTAAACAAATAACTATCTTGACCATGAACAGAAAAATGTATTCTAGTACATAGTCCATCAATGTAATTGCATTCCCTCAAATGTAATGTCTGTAAAGTTGCTTCACATTATTGAAATATGACAATGACATAAAATTGATAGTCAAAATAATACAAATCTAGTGAAATAATCAACTGCTCTAACTAAGGCTTTACTGGAATGTGATGTTAATACTGCCTGTACATAATGCATAAATACCCAGGTATCCAGCCAGGTAAGTTCAGCACTTGCTATAGAAGTCTGATGTGTGGCAGGTGCTATCAATAGAATCATTCACACTGACGCTGGGTGTAGAGGTGAAACCAACACTCCAGTCTTTTCATGCTAGGCTGGACTTGACACCAATACATACTCTACACCTCCACTCGCAGGTGCCCCCTGGGCCAGCCAGTTTACATTGTAAACGATTCTATTGGCAGATTCAAATCAGTAGCCAGTCAAACATGTCATATTGACTTTATTACACCAGTCAATGTCAGTAGTCTGGGACGGAGCTGTACTTTCTATTCTGCTAAGTTTATGGCCAACATTTTCCTCATCAAACCAACAGTACAGGTATTCAAGTTCCCCTTGCCCTTCAATGACCTAGATTTGCAGCAGGCTTCCAGGACAAGCCTACAAACACACCGAGGGATTACTTGTTTGTGAAACAATCTCCTCCTTAAATTCACACCATGCTGAAGACCAGACCAGGGTGACCCAATACATCAGATCTATAAGAATTAACCAGTTTCCGAAACAAAGTATGACAGTCAAGAGATCCTTGTCATTAACCCACTGTTCTAAAGAAAAGACTTAAGAGTTCCGCAGACTAATAAAATACTCCAAATATCTAAAATAAACTGCAGAGCCCGGAGCCACTCTTACTTTCTATCACTAAAACAAATTATTATAACAAGACTAAAAATGCTAGATGCACTGCAAATTACAGGTGTCAACTTCACATAGACCAAGAATTAAGTTCATATCAACAACTCTTCAATGTAAATGAAATAAGTTTAATCCAAGAGTATCATTCTGTGGTCACATGTGGCATATTGCAAAGTGTAGCCATGTATTTGCAAGATAATGAGAGTATTACCACCTAATGAGATTATTATTACACAAGCACAGGTCAAGCACACCACTTCTCCAAAAGTTCTCAATTAGATAGATCATACATTAATTTGCCTGACATAACATGTCAGCTGATTTGCTCTGATGTATCATCATTATGTGATTAACAATGCAAATAACTGTGTGATATATTTGATCCCTGGCTGCATGTCAATAGAAGATGATATGATCAGTGATAAGCTGGTAATAACAGACCAATTATGTATGACTTCTGTAAACTACAGGACATTTGTTATGTATTGAAAGGTAACAAGACCTGCTTGTGAAATCAAGTCGTATGCATACAATTGAGTAGGATTAGAACACACTACATAATGTTATGCATCTAATGTTAACACACATTGGTGAATTCATACACATACCATTCGAGAGCTGAAATGGTCTTAATATTAACATTTAGAGTTCAATACCATTAATACTGAAGGCTTCGTTAAGGCAAATAGTAAGTTACCAGTAGTGACTAGAAAATCCAGTGATTGATATCGTGAGCATTGGTCCATGCCATTAGGGTACAAGGACACACTCTCAACCAAGTCACACAGCCTGAACACCCGTTCTATTTGGACACCACTTACGACCAGTTGGCGACTAATTGTAAACTGGAATCCAGACAGGGGTATTGAGGATCTATTTGTACAAGATATATAACATGTTTACACACAACTAATTGGGCAAACAATTTAAGCATATTTACATGTACTTGGTATCAAATGAGTGCGTGAGTCGGTTTAACAATAATGTGAATGGTATTTCAGGCACATAGCGCAGTTACAGCTTTATATGGAAAGAAAGCCCAAATTAATGCAATTCCTATTTTACCGTAACCCATAAAAAGTGCTGACAGACCAATGATGACAATCTAACAGGGCAAATCTGAACTTTAAACCCCAAACAAGTGAATCCTGTAACAGGTAAGGGCTTGATCAAATGACCCGTGTCCCCTCTGACAACAGTGGGAAGCATGAACATCACATCAGGGTTAGAAACTAACAGTTTTTGTCCACTAGTCCTTATAATGATAACATATAGCAAAACCCTTAAAATGGGCCAATTTCTACTAGTCCTTAGGATACCTTTACTATTAGGCAGTTTGGTAAGGACTACAGGACTAGTGCCAATCTCTAATGCTGCACTTGATACTCATGTATTGTCATCAG